TGGTCGCTATCGGGAACGCAATCCTCCAGCTGCACGCAGCTGAGGCTCTAAGTCGGTCGTCGGGGCTGGTGAATCAGCCTGCGGAGGTCGCTCGTCATCTCCTAGTGGCCCAGATGACAATGCTGCGCAGCGCAGGGCAGGGCGGCGTCACGAGGGGGATGACAGGACTGGCAGGCGCGGCGCTGTGCTATCGTTGCAAAGGTGGAGAGAAGATGCAGTTGCGTGCATATCCTGGGGCACACCGGGACGTGGATCACGCAGCGCTGTGCGACAGAGCCGGATTGATACCTGCTGCAGGTTGCTGGTCGGCCTGCCTTTGCTATAATCCGGGGGTCGACAGAAGGCATCTCAATAGCAGGTCAAGAGGGTGCGATCGGTGGGGTCATCATCCCGCGTTTGTGGTCCACAGGATCTAGCATGCTCAGCCCGACCAAGCTGACCGTGACGAATGCACACAGCGAGCGCCACCGGGCACACACTGCACACAGCAACGCGCAACGGACACGCTGCCGATTCGGCTGCGGCGGAAGACTACGCTGCCCTCAGCAGGCGGGCTCTCGCAGCGTTGCACCCACCAGACGCGCCAGCCTGATTACTTCGGGATGCCGCGATTGGCCCCGTCCGCTGTGCTCGAAGCCAGATCATCCCAAGCAAAGGCCGCAGGATGATCGAAAGGCTGGGTCCTGGCACGCCCGCAGGACGTATAGGCGGGGGAACGATGTACCCATCGTGCTCCTCTCACGCTCACACTGCATCCTTGACGCCTCATCCGCCGGTCAATGCAATACTGCGCCGTGACAGGCTCACAGCAACACGCTCTATGCTTGCGGCATCGACGTCCTGGGCACCAATAGGCTGCGAGAGCTGCCTCTATGGTCGCGGACGGCGAGCTGCGATCGAAGACAAGCTTGCAACGCCTCGTGGTTTTGACGCATTCGCCACTCGATGGCTGAACCTTATGCACCCTGCAAGGTATGGCCGCATGCTGGTCGATGAAAAGGGCGCAGGTCCTGTGCCGCCTGCATACCAACCGGAACTCTGTTATGCACTTCTCATACGACACAACTGATTCACCAACTAATGGAAACCTCTCGCAAAGGAAAAGCGGAGAATGGCAAAGCAAAGGCCATCCAGCAGCCGATTTGCTCGGGACTGGATGTAGCATCGTGCCGCACTTGCAGTCGCGAATGCAGCCGCGCAGACTGTTGGAAATGTACTGGTCACCATTCTGTCTTTCCAATTGATAACAGCGTTCGGAAGCCTGCGTGAACGATGCTGTTTGTAAATGGCGATTCTACTCGATCGAAGCTCGAGATGTTCAACGCCTCGATGTTGATGATGAAGCGCAAGATCATTTACATGTCTATTCGCATTTCGGACCCTTTTACACATAAGCGACCGAGCGTGGGGGTTCCTTCTTGGAGCTAAGATCAGATGAGGCTCTATCTCGATCCCCTTTCTGTTGAGATAGATCGCATTTGTGTTCGACATCATCATTCCATTCGGACATCTCGCCGAGCCGATCTCGCAACTCGTCAGCATATCGCTGCAAACTGCCAGTCCTGCCAGGCTCGTTGGGCTTCTTGATGGTGAGAACAGCAGCGCCAAGCTCGTTGGATCGCAGCCACTTCAATAAGCTCAGCAAAGGCGTGGGGAGAGTTTGTGGCTGTCACCATCGCCTACGGCCTGCCCAGCCCAGCCTTACACATCACGCAGCATGCTCCGAACTGCTTCTCGTGCATCATCTCAGCGATCCATTCGCCAATCGTGAGACATCTCTCATACGCTGCTGCGAGTTCGCCTAGCAAGATCACATACGCCATCGGATTCCAATTGCCTGGATTCGAAAGAACCGGTCGCGTGTCACCTAGATCCAATGGCCATGCATGCGCTGACCTCACCTCCTCGGAGCGTGTTCCTGTTTAAAGCACGGAAAATACTGCCTCCCGTCTGGGCTGCAACGTAAGATCTTGACAACGCCACCGAGTAACAGAATCACGGAGCGTTTGTAAAAGTTTGCTGGTCACACACCAGTGCGCTGCCTTTGTGGCCACCGGTCTCTGTGTGACCGTGTGATGGGCGTCGAAGGTACTGCTGTACTAGGCACGAAAATACCGCAGTCCAAGCCACGTGTCCGCTACGCTCCTATTCTCCACTGGCTGGCGCTGTACTGCCTCATTTGAGCACGATGGTCAGAGAATCCTGCTCAATTCTTCTTGGGGTGAGGTCTGGAACAAGATCAGGAGCCACGAGGTTGGAAATGTTCCGGTCTCACGTTGACGCCATCCGACAAACGTTGATCGCCACGAGTTCTGATTCACCCGTACCGCGTCATGGGCAGCAGAGATCTATGTTCGGATTGCAGTTCAGCGGAACCACGTCGACGGAAGCAACGAACCACGCTCCGAGCACTGCCACGAGGCCGCTTGGAGACGAACATTCCAGGGTTCGCAACCTACGCCGTCTCCATACTGTTGTTTGTCCTCAGACTTCCTACAAGCACCTTCGGGCTTGGTGGGTGCATAGTAACGAAGTGGCTGACTATACAGTGACTGGCAATTCTACGGGTACGCCTGTTCCAAATCCTCGAACACGGATACATGCTAGGTTGCACAGCTTTCCCGAGACCGAGAAACAAATCGGAAATCGAACACTCAAGAATATAGCTGAGGCGCACTCCCTTGGATATATAACACAGCATCCAAGAGACTCATGGCAGTCGTACTGTCGGTAGGGCACGAGACCGGATCCTCCTCCTCGACATGGATCAGGAACACAGCTCGATGAGCTAACGTCAAACCACAAAACCTCACAACGGAAGTCTTTGGTGATAGGCCTCTATATCGGAAAATCTCATCTACCAGGAAAACCCATACACTAATCTGTCGCAATCGGCACGGCTTTCGCGCAATTCGAGAAAGGAAGTCAAAAACTCGGTAAGAACTGTTCGGGTCATCTGCCAAGTCGGCAAGCCGATCCATGAATGGCATGAACTTCTCGGGGACTTCTTCCCTGAATCCGTCCCACCGAGGTGACAGGAATGCATCGCGCATGCTGCGGAGACCGGATAGCGAAGCCTACAGGAACTACTTTTGTCCCCGTTGTGAAGATCAAGCAGTGCGCAGTCCATATTCGACCACATCCGACCAACTACTATTTCTGTCTACAAACTTGCTTGCAAGCTTGGCTGGATGTACTACGCTTTCTGGCGGACCCTATCTACGACATCCGGCAAAGCAATCACCTGTCTATCGCCTCATCCGAGTGTCCTGACAATTCTTGACGCATACACAGGTCACCACCCCACATCTCATCCTAACACTCACTTATCCTAACACTCACTCCTCCTCATACTCACTCGTCTCCCTCACCCAACAACCCTAAACCGCAAACTTCCTCCTCCTCTTGAAATCCGCATACAACCCCAACCAAATCTCTCTGTCCCTGCAATCGTCCTTGATATCGTCATCCACGCCCTCAAACACACTCTTCCGCGTCTCTAATATAACGCACCGTGGCATCACATTCTCCACACTGTCCTCATCTGCGAACACCCAAGGCTTCGGAAGCGGCCAGTCGGAGAAATGGACGTATTTGGCTTCATTGACGATAAGGTCGGGGTTCCACACTTCGGTTGAAGAGCCCAAGTACGCGGCGTGGTCGACTTTGGATGGGAGAGAGGCTTCAGGAATAGAGGAGGACAACGAAGAATCGTCTCCTTGACGTTTGAATTCTCCTGACAGCAGATTGTAGGGTCTGTGAGGGAGGACGAGAGCGGATGAGTTGTAGAGGTGATTGATAATTTCCATGTCGTAGTCGGCTTCGAGACGAGTGTCGAAGGCGTTTAGGATTCGATTGAATTCTACTATGGAGGGCTGAATGAGGAGGAGTTGGGAGGAGAGGATGGGATCTTTCAGGTTGGGTAACCAGTAGGCTCGTGGGGCGGCCAAGGTCGTCGGTGGAAGCAAGAAGAGCTCGTCCATGGGCTAATCAGACAGGCAGTGTTAGCTGCTGTCTCTGGGACGTATGTGCCTCGGTTTTCCTGCGCTGCTCCTGTCTCGACCAACGAACCTGTAAAATCGTAGAATCCGAATCCAAACTCAAAACCCTCTTATACTGCGTCTGATTAAAAGCCAACAACTTCGTCAAACTATCCGCCCAGGTCGGTTCTCCTGCCAACGTTTGGAGAGTAACGGGTTGTAATTTCACGCCATATTTTTCTTTTGCTTTTGTTAACAGAGTCCATGTCGTAGCTTCTAGTTCCATGTCTGTGGCCCAATTTTCAGGATACATGAGCAACCTATCCGCCTTGGAATTGTATCTTGCTAGTGACTCAAAGATCATGATACTGTTGCAGAGATATTGTTCTGTGGTGACGTATTGGGTATAGGCGTATTGACTCCAGTCGGTGGAACCCGTCAATGGCCAGATTGGATGGGAGAAGATGGGCCATGGTGATTTATGGCGGAGAAGGATTACAAGACAGAGGAGTATTGCAACTGCCAGGCACGTCCGCCAAATCAATCTCGAGGATGCTCTGTTTCGTGGACGATCCGCCGGGCGATAAAATCTACCCAGCGTCTCGCGGTGCTTGCCATGTTGCGGAAAGTTGAAGATTGGAAGTTGGGCAACCATCTCGCGCAAGTTGATTTTGATTATCCATGATGGCGACGAAAGGACCATTGCTTGATTAAGAGCACACGTTGGGCAACTTGTCGCAATCCGAACAATGCAAGGAGATCTTCTGTGCCACAAGGATCGCTTCAGATAACACTGGAATGTTTCTCCATTCTGCTGCTTCATTGGGTTAGCAATGCCAATGGCATTGGTCTAGAAGTGTGCGAAAAAGCAAGCACCATCTTCTTGTTGTGATGTGTCCAGTCTGCTCTATTCGAATATCAGAATCGAAATTCCACCAACCCAGCACACACCAGGGTATCGTTCATCTCTTCGTCTCTATCATCAAGTAGCGTCTATCTTTCCTCGCTGTATGCATCGCACGTGTGGTTCGTGAAGTTCATTCGCATGGCGTGATGTCACAATCAGAAAAGGTTTGAACGCCTCGAGCGCCTCATGACGTGCCATTGCCATAGTATCCATCGTGAGCCTTCTTCATTTCCTCCGAGATGTCCTGAACTCCAGATGGCTCCTTTCCTTTCGTCTGCCAAAATTGCTTCCTCTCGGCGAGAAGTTCTGCCGCCCACTGCTGCACTTCAGGAAGCTCTATGCGTTTCGCGACCCAAGCGAACTCGCCCAAGTCCACCTTTGCGTCTTGAGCTTTTTCATATTCAATCATCTGCAGTAGCAGTTCCATCTTGTCCACATCGTGCACAAATTTGCTTTCCAGTGTCTTGCTGTCTTCGTATTCCTGCCACACTTCGCGCATGTCCTGCCCAGCCTGACCGCCATGCACATTTCCGAGCAGGGTTTTGGTCAAATAGTCCATGGTTTCTGTCTCTCTTCTGCTCTTCTCAGTTTTGCTCACGCCATCAACGGGAGTGATGTCTCCAACTAAGCTCTCTGCCATATCGTGAATCAAAGCCATTCGTGTGCATTTTGACAAGTCTATCCGCTTTGCCAGAGTGGGAGGACACAGCATGGTGATGATGGCCATGCGGTACATGTGATCGGATATGGACTCGCCATGGCTGATTTCGAAACGTCGCCAGCCTTCGCGCTTGGTGGTTTTGAGGCGTTCGAGCAAGTGGAAGAAGGGCAGCGGGGATGTCGAGTGGGGTTGTGGTTGCTCAGGGAGGGTGCTGAGGACGGTGTTGGGGGTCCAGCCTTCGTTGGTGTTGGAGCGTTTGAGAATGCCAGCGCCAGGGCCTATAATGTGTGTCAGACAGGCGTAGAAACAGTTTCGTGTGTGTGTTGCATACTCAATGGGCCATTTGTCTCAATGGCGTCGGGTGCCATGCTGTGTCACTCGGTTCGCGGCGGGGTGGTGGTCGCTGCAACGCGGTGAGGAGGAGGAGGGGCAGAACGGGGCAGGTGCAACGGGACAACGAGCGTGATTATATCGACAGCGAGCGTGCAGCAAACGGCAAACAGCAAACGATGTATGGTGCGCGTGTTTTCTGCAGTCGTGACCGATCAACAACATTAAGCCACAGCCGCTGTGCAGAATGACGGTCATCCCTGCTAGTCAGACATGCGCCATTGTTTGACGCAAGTCACCGCTAATCTCTCCCAAGTGATGCTAATGTGCTGCCCAGGAGGCTGTCAACGGCACCGCTCGCTCTACGACCACTACTGCTCCTCCTCCCCCTCCTGTCTTCCCCGTCGTCGTCTGCTGGCAATGCGACGCCGCCATGGAAAGGCCGACCACCGCCAGTTCGAGCGCCTCCACGCATAAGCGGACCATCTCCAAAGCCGCCAATGGCCTCGACGCGCCACGCGGGACAACAAACAATCTCTACGTTATTGCCATCTTCATACGCAATTGTCGCCTGCTCAACCTCGACCGTCTCGAGGACTGGCCCGACGTGACGGTCGCGAACATAGCGCAAGATGCTCGAGCCAGGACAAGATGCGCCGAGTGGTGTTTATTCCAACTCTTTCGAAGATACGACTCGGCAACCACCCAGGAAAAGCTACAGCCCTTCTTCCCACCTCTGGAGCCTTTGCAGAGCATCAATCTCCGAGCAGCGCTGTATCGCTGTCTGAATGAGCTGAAGAAGGATGGCGTTCTGGGGCGAGAAACAGTGCTGCGCAAGTCTATGCTGGACGATTGTCAAGGCGACAAGTTCTGGGAACTATGTCTGTCGTTCTCTGGACTGGTCCTGCGCAGAGTCACAGTCGAGAACAAGGACCGCTTGTCCTATGAAAGGCCATACTCGGAGAAAATTGGCACCAGGAAGGCACTGAACATCAAGCAGCGGGAGAGCATGCTACCGCTCGCCATTGCCCACAAGGCTGCATTGGCCAAGGTACTGGAAGAGAAAGAGCGCAAGAAAGAGACCTACGACAAGCTCTGGCACACTTTCAAGGACAAGGAGGTCGACCTGCGCGCAAGGAAGATTCAAGTGCACGAGACAGCAGGCCTGAGACGGCGTCGATCGCCAGAGGATAATGTGGCACAAGAAGTACTCGAAAAGAACTGGGTTGGCAGTGGGGATGTGAAGGATGCCTTGTTGAATGGAGACGCTGCTCCGGGAGCAGACGGACTCTTGACCAAGTCATTCAATGCAGTCTGGGACAACAACAAGACTGATCAGCTTGCCAAGGCAGACACGGCAGAGAAAGGCGTTTTGGAAGATCTAGAAGATCGCACTCGACAGCAGAAGCGGAGGCTGCAGAAATGGCAGAATCTGCATGAGCAATTGCTCAAATCCAAAGTGCAGTCGGCAAAAGATACGGACTCATCAACAGCAAAGCCAACTCAGTTGCGATTGGACCAACATCAAAATCTCACATTGCGTGACATGGCCGATAATGGTCAGACGTCGACTGTCGCTAATCACAAGAGACACACAAGTGCTGTAAAGTACGATGAGATTCTGAATGCTATGCGGGATGAGCTTCGCAAGAAGTCTGCAAATGATCCAGCATCGCCCACCAAGCCGGTACAAAGAGTGAAACGACCTGAATTCAAGCGACAGAGCGTCTCGGTGGACACAACAGCACGAGCATCCCCAGAACCACATCAGCGAGCCAACTCACATACCTCGGTCCCGCTAAGATTCGGTCAACGCGTCTCTTCCAGATCAAGATCGTATCAACAGCCCAAGGTCATCAATCAACGAGAGCCTATACCGCTCAAGTCGGAGATTTTCTCGCCGCTGAAGACAGACAGGGCCAATTCGATCTCACCGAGCCCTCGGAACTCCATGGTTGCTTCCCCCGTCCAAGAGTCATCGATTGAGGATCCATATGTTCCCCAGCGCCAACGAAAGGGCAGCGACACAGGATTTGCTAGCACTGGATCTGCTGCACTGAGCCGTGCCTCATCAGGCAGGAACAGCCCTCGGGTTCCATCGCGATTATCGATCAGCGAAAGTTCGTCAGACAGTCCGGTAGATGCGCCAGCCCCTCAATTCCCCACAAGCAGGAATCCTGATGGCATGTCTCGTCCTGTTCGACCTTCACTCGCAGATCGCACGCGCATGTCGATGGCCTTCAAAAGCACAGATTCTATCGATTTGAGCAACGGCGCAACAGGGAGGAAAGAGGACGAAAAGAAAGGATCCGCCAGATCAGACACCCCCATCGGGTCTGACGAGACCGTCACCACGCTTTCCACACTCGAAGAGAAGCCTGTATTGAGTCTGCAGGAACGGACTCGTCAATCCATCTCCTTCGCGCCGCAACAAGTAGTGCAGCCTAAGAAAGCCTCTCACGCGCGGTCGCGTACATCACAGATCTATCCAGTGAACCAATTCGACACACCTGAGAAGCCTCAGCCTCGGCGCTACACCGTCAACCAGCTGGACAACGATGTGTCGGAAGGCGCGCCCAACGAGCGTCGAGATATCACACCTCGCGAGAACTTATTCGAGCAAGATGTCGAGTATACCTCTGTCTTCAAAGCACGACCGAAGCTGGCGCGCAGTCCCAATTTGTCGCCTTGTCCAGACAGTGGCCATGGAAGTATGGAGAGTCGAGGACTCAACAATGATGTGAGCTTTGCGGATGACGATATCGCCTTGTCCAGTCCGTTGAAAGGACGGTGAGGAGTGTGTGAGCAGACCACACAGAACCTGCTGTGCAGGCGCGAGAGAAGAAGAAGAAGAAGAACTAGATACCCAAGGAAGACACACTAGGACGAGAATACTGAAATGTTTTAACGAGAATGGAGCGTATCATTATGTGAGGGAGAGACTGTGAGGAGGAGGATGTAGCGTGGAGCTTGCGAGAGCAAAGGATATAGCATTATGAACTGTGGATCTCATCAGCCCCCTTTTCCAGCTTTCTACTGCTCCTTCCAACATCCCAATACAGCCAGAAGCCATCTCTGCTTTCCCAATTTGTCCCAAGCACAAATCGAAAAAAATCGCGCAACAGCTTTTCAAGGAAGTTGCAGTCTGCATTTCATTACCCTTCCAACTTGCTCGCGTCCAGATCTCTTTTGTCAAATCTCTTGCACGGTGCACCAAGTCTAGAACCAGAGATATGGAAAAGTAAAAGATCTGAAACATCTGAAATGGTCCCCGCATCTCCATCGATGACCCTTTCTTCATCACGGCTGGAAGGGAGCGAAATACTAATCGTCTCGTTGTGTTCGTCATCTATCATTCTCGCTACGACTCACAGTGGCCATTCAAGCCACGCATGGATGGCCAGCAGCCGCGATCTTTCCAGACGCGATCATCATACTGTAGTGTATGACATGCGTTGTTCACAGACATCAAGTCATCGATTTTGAACTTGTTCTTCTCAACGTCAACCTTCACCTCCCCGCTCTCCCCGCTCTCCCCTCCCTCCCTCCCCTCCCTTCCGACCCCTCACCTCATGACGTGCTCCTTGCGCAAAGTCAAGGCGGGGCAGGGCAAGGCAGCAACCCAAATCCAGACCAGGACCATCCCAATTCTATTTCATCTCATCCTAGTCAATTCGAGGTCCAGACCGGAAGTCCCAAACGAGAAAGCAAGCACCACGGCGAGAAAGTTAACGATCGGACGAAATTGATCCCCGCTTCTAATTTTGCAACATACTCTTCTGGGATACTTTGACTTTGACTTTGACTGATGATGAGGCGGGGCAGAGAAGAGAAGGCGGGGTGAAGTTCCAGGACTCTTGTACAGTAATGAGAGTGTAGTACGTAAGCGGTCGTGGCTGTGTTGTCGTCGTTCTTGTTGTCGTGGTCGCGTGCTCATGGCAAGGGCATATTGTATCGGTAAATGGGGAATACGATGGGTGTCGTATCAGTTCGTGTCAGTGGATGAGATTGAATGTGCAAGTCAGCAGTGTATCGCTGTAAAGATCAGTTCGTATATATCCATCCACTTGCAATGATGTGGTGTTACGAGTCTTGCGAGCTGCCTTACTCGTAGAAGATGATCGACCGTGAGTCGTTGTGAGTCGTGAGTCGCCAAGGTAATACAATGATGCCTCGCCAAACAAGCAAGTGAGAGAGACAGGAAAGAATGAGAAGAGGGTAGGCGGGACTAAGAGCGTAAACACGTTAAATTTCCCATCTCTCTCAATGACATGAAGAAGAGGATGGGTCAGTAGAGGGAAAAAAGGAAAAAGCCTGGTACGGTATTGGCACACAACATGCCTGGTATAAAACAAAAACAAAAAAGTGTTTCCATCATTCTCTTTCTGCTTGCTTCTCTTGCATACGTTCCTTGCTTTCCTGTTGACTGATGATGAGAAAAATCCTCCTCTGCTGTATACACACATCTTGGTGGAGCTCTGAGAGCGAGAGAGACTCTGTTGCCACTGCTGCATGTGCCGTTCGTTCGCTCTATTTCGCGCGCTCGATCGTCCGAAATGAAGAAAAATGAGGAAAAAGCGTACGGGTAGCCAAGTGAGTATCGCACGACCTAGTTCCAGCCCAGACTGTTCTCGGCCATGACAGGAGCACTGATACCTTGGTCCCGTACGCTGCGGTTGTTGCTGCTGCCCGCGCTGTTTCTGCTTCCTCTGCCTCCGCTACCGCTTCCCCTGATTCCGCTACCTCTTGTCGTGCCTGATCCGCGACCATTGGCACCTGACATGAAGTAGCCGCCCATACCGCCAGTAAGTGTGCCGGGGGTGCCAGGAGATCTCTCAGTCATCTCGCCATGCGTGCCAACCGAGCTTGCACGCTTGTGGGACTTCCTCTTGTTGCGGTAGCGACGAGCGACGTAGACCATGGCGGCAGCGTACACAGCTGCACCGGCGACTGCGCCAACACCAATACCGACAGATGTACCCTTGATCTTCTGTGAAGAGCCGGAGTCACCGCCAATGGGTGTTCCATCGTTGGTCGAATCATCCTCGCCATCGGAATCGCTTCCTGGACCGTACGATTTTGGACCCCCTTGACCAGGAGTGTCCATGTTCGCACCTGGCAGGATTGGGATTGTGGGGTTGATCATAGTCATAAGCATGCGGACAGCCTCGTTCGGATTGTCGTATGCTCGAGATACTTGAGTATGAAGGTCCATCTGCAATGTGTTGACCAAATCTCCAGGAATATATGCCTGGGCCAAAGTCGTGATGTAGTTGAGCGACTTGGTCGTATCATATGGCATAAGTCCGTTCATGGCGACCTGTTTGGCATCAATGTTGAGAGCATATGCCAGACCTTGCGGAAGATAGGTGAAGATCTGGTTAGCAGAGTTCTCGGTATGTACGACGAAATTGTAGTTGAGCGGATAGCCAAAGCCGACCTGGATGAGGGTGGAGTTGCTTGGAGGTTGCGGCATGCCTCCGGGTGGCTGTACAAGGCGAGGCAGAGCGGTGGGAAGACCACTTGCGGCAGATGAGGTCGTGCTGTCCGCTGAAACGATAGTACCGGTTGTGGACGAGGACTCGGTGGTCGTCGGAGCGAAGACAAGGGAAGTCGGGATGCTCATGCTCGTCGCGGTGTTTGTGGCTGTTGGTAGAATAGACTCTGGTGGTGCCGATGTGGTCTCCTCGACAGTAGCGCTTGGTGTGGTGCTCGGCACCTCAGAGCTAGTCGGAGAGGGAATGACCACAACTGGCTCACTAGTAGATGATGTCGTTGAGTTCGTCGACGCGAGCGGCGCGCTTGTAGGCTCTGTAGTAAGGTTTGTCGTCGGAATGGCGGGAATGGAGGTGATGTTCACGGTTGGGCTACTGATCGGAACAGTGTACGACACGCCAGTGGTCAGGGGAATTGAAACACTGACGCTGGTCAAATTGCTCGTCGCAGTTGCAGTGTCGGAGCCAGTAGGAAGTGGAAGGGGTACCACTGTGAGGCCATCAGACCCAGTCAGCGTAGTCGACGGCAAAGAGTCGGTCGCTGTGCCAGTGGCAGTCACGTTCGCTGGCAGCGAAGTGGCAATTGCGAGCGAAGAGGCTGCCTCTGACAATATGCTGGAGAATTCCGAGGCCAGAGAGTTTGATGCCAGTGGGTTAGTGGCGATCACGCTGCTGAGATCCGAGTACAATGACGAGGCAAGTGATTCCAACGCAGGCGAAGCTGTGACGGGTGGCAAGCCGAGAATGCCAGTGTTGTTGCCCGCCGAAGTGCCGTTGGGGGCATTAGTGATCGTTGGCGGTGCGGTAGTCTGTGGCTCGGCCGGCGGGAGCAGACCGTCAAGGAGACCGGTATCATTCGTGGTTGCAGTCGATGTGCTGGTGGGAGCTGTGCCAGGAGCATTGTCCGGCGGGAGGATGCCGTCGAGCAGACCAGGCTCAGTGGTCGAGGTGCTAGTCGCAGTGGGAGCCGTGCCAGGAGCATTGTCAGGTGGGAGGATACCATCGAGCAGACCGGGACGCTCTTCCGCAGATGCAGTCGATGTGCTGGTTGCCGTGGGGGCTGTGCCTGGAGCATTGTCAGGTGGCAGGATGCCATCGAGGAGACCAGGACGCTCGTCTGCACTTGTAGTCGATGTGCTAGAAGCGCTCGGAGCTGAGGCAGAAGCCGCAGTGTCCGGTCCAAGAATACCACCAAGACCCAGACTGAGAAGTGGCGGACTGTCCTCAGAAGAAGGCGTCGCTGAAGGTACAGTGCTCGTGAAAGTCGTCGAAAGGCCCACATAGATGATCGGGACGGATGAGGTCGAGTTGGTGGCAGAGGTGGTGCCATTGTCTGCTGGTGTCAAGGGCCCGGTGTAAGATGGCCCAGTAGGCGACGGCTCATTCTCCGGGACGCCTGCTCCTGTCGGTCGTGGTGGGTTGAACGAGGAAGACGTCGATGTCGAGGGGTCAAGAAGAGGATCCAAAAGCCCTCCGAGAAGTCCACCGTCTGACGATGAGGACGTTGTAGAGGTCGAACTTGACGAGTCGTCCGAGGGAGCGGACTGGCCGCTGGGAGCATTTGAAGTGCTGGAGGAAGAACTGCTCGTCTCGTCGTCTGAATCGTACCTATCTTGGCCTGAAGAAGAGCTGCTTGATGTGCTCGTCGAAGTCGTAAGCGGGACAATGTTGCCAGAAGAGGTTGTCGATGTCGAGGTCTGATTCCTGGGAGGCGCATTGATACTGGAACTGGTCGAGCTGGAGGAGCTAGATGTGCTGGAACTGGATGTCGATCCCGACAATGCTGCCAACAAGCTGGCGTATAAATCCGACGTTTCAGGCCTTTCCGGGTTGAATTGCGGCCGTGTCGGATAGACCTCTTCATTGTTGGTGGTACTTTGTGTCGTCCCAGTCTGATCATTGTCTGGCCGGTTGTTCGAACCGATGATGGAACTGAGATTGCCCCACTGCCGTTTGACTTGCTTGGGGTAGTAGTATCGAGGCCGCGACTGTTCTTGATTTTGTTCTAGTCCAGCTGGCGCAGGCTCGGCATTCGCGAAGGTTGCTTGCATGGACATGACCGCGAGCGCGGCAGCCCATGCTGGAGTGTTTGCAGCCTTCATGATGCAAGAAATTAATATGTGCAAGAGCAAGCTGATGAATGCTCGGATAACAGTTGATAAGAGAAGGTCAAATGTATGCTTCTGCCCCACGTTAGTTGCTGCAGATTTCCGTCGCGCTCGCAGATCTGGGTGCGCACCGTCTGAAGTTGGTCCTTAAACGAGTGTACGTGACGAATGCCACAAGAGGGAACGCTTGCTCAGACCACCAAAACAACAATATTCGACTTCTGTGCAGACGGAGGAGTTTACAACATCCCACCCGTTCTCGTTCCTGGAGTCGTCTCGGTCAAGGAGTGTCGGTAGTTGGAATCGAGCGCGAAGATTGGACGTCGCAAAGAGACAGGACAGGACTTGTGGGTATCCCGGCCAGGTGCTTGCGACTGTACCCTCGCGCGATGAGTCAGTCTCAAAGGCACGTGGCGCGACTAATCTGCAGACAAAGAAAGGCTTCTTTGAGGGTAGATATTCGTAGCCAATGTGCGGTCGCAGACCGATTGGCTCACCGTCAAGGTGCTTTGAGAGAAGTCGTCACGGTGGATGGGCTCGTTTCGGCTCGAATCTGTCGGACAATGGTCGCGCGGCTTTCCAGGCGCGTGCTCGCAAATGACACTGGGTGGTGGATGATTTTTCGCTCGAGATGACAGCAGGAACAGTGCTGGTGCAGGATTACAAGGCCGTAAGTCGGAAAATCGTAAGAAGGGCGGTGGTCAAGTGAGTGTGGGTTGCGGATGACGCGCAAGGGGTGTTGATGGTTCCAAGGGCGGCGAGGGAGGAGCGAGCGACGGCGTGGGGTTGTCAATCGCACTGGCTCGGGCCAGTGCTGCCGGTCGGTGGTGGTGGTGAGGGCGGTGGGGATGTCGTGGCCTGGGGAGGGAGGGAGAGAAGAGACGTTGGCAGTGACCGCTGTGCGCGGCGACGAGGTGTGCGAGGAGCGGCAGCAGCGACGGGCGGGTGAGACACAGGTGTGGATCTGGTCGGCCAGGATTGTGATTTGAGCAGCAGCTAACTAGCGGCGGCGCCTCGCTTTCACGCTACCCAGCACGCCGCAGGAACTGGGCGGGAACACGAACGCTGGTGTGAGACTGCCCACTGCACGCACGCACGCACTGTCAACATCGCAATAATCATCAATCTCAATTTCACAGTCGTCGGTATGCTTTCTGCCTTTTGCGCGCATGAATCTCGAAACGTGCTCGCGTGGGTCCCCCGCTGCGGCGAGCGAGGGTGCAATGTCACAGTCGTCTCGCGGCAAGTGGTGCCGCAGTCTCGCCTGGGCCTTCAAATTGCACCCAAGCACCCACGAGAACGTCTGGCCCCAACAGCCCTGTCTTCATGCCTGCAAGTCTGCAAGAAGCTGTCGCTCGCTCCCTGCTCGCGTCGCCATCATTGCGAGAGCGCTCAGGGTGCAAAGTCTCGCTCGAGTGTCTACCGTTGTGATCGTTGATGACACATGCGCTCTTCACACTTGACGCACCACTTGCCTGCTTGAGAAGGCAGTGGTCGTGCGCCGGGGGCAGAGATTAAAATTAATAAGGCCCTCAGCCTCAAACCTCCGCGACTCTCTCACTCAAACTCGCTGCGCCTGGCCTCGTGGAGAGCCAGACCTGCGTCGACCGGTGGACTTGGTCACTGACGTCTGCTGTCCAGAACTTCGTTGTTGTGCTGCATCTTGCGCAAGAACGACGTCCTGCCATCTACAGAGCATCTTCATCATCGACTCTGCCGACATTGCACGGCAGGCGATGCAAAGACGCCATCACGCTTTGGGACGCGTAAGACGCCTGGCGTGCTTGGTGGCGCCATTGGTCCGCAAGCCACCGAACTCTTCAGCGCCCTGATGACATGGATCCTGCCCACGTTGTCATCATGATTGTTCGCGTTGCTGCAGTAGAACATTCACGGCTTCCAACACCGCGATGCAAAATTCACTTCGCTGGAGCTGAGAAGTCGTCGCGTCAATAGCCCGGCTGCACGGCCGACTTTCTGCACGCGTCCGACAGCTGCGCCCACTGCGTCGCACCTGCACGACGACGACAACGGCAGCTTGCACTTTGTAAATGCCTAAAACGATGCTATACCCTTGCCATGCGAGCTCTCTCAACCATGCCAAGGCACTCTACATCGCAGCCGACCGAGACAAGCGCATTGAAAACGTCCAAAGCTACCCTTTTCGACGTCCTCAGGTCCAGCCGGTACAACTGATTCAGATTCAGCACGGCAACGTTGGAAGCACGACATGCGAAGGCCACGTTCTGCTCCAGCCGGATCATCACCCTCGCTTTCCTGACGGAATTTCCGAATATGCACAACACGCGTCTGACTCGTACCAGTGGACACTTCACTTCTTCACAGACTCATTCATCTACATCGGTAAGCCGTTCTTTCCACGAAAGGAGTCAGCCGGAGCGCCAGTCAGCCTGTAGCCGCTCGGCTTGACGCAGGAAGCTGAAGGCGTAGTGCCTGCGCGTCCACACGGGACTTCGCGACGACGATGAGTCCGAAATCTCATTAGAATCCGTGTGCGCTGCCGGACTTGTTGCAGATGCCGTGCAGAAGGAATGCGTCAGCTTGTGCCTTTGCATTCCTGACTCTCGCATAGATGTGACACTCTTTGGCCAAACACCTTCACACACGCCTACTGACATTTACAGATATGGAACCAGCAGAAACGTCAAATAGGAAAAGAAACAGAGCTGCTCGAACATCTATTTGTACCTTTGTATTATTGTTGGAGGTTCATACCCAACTCTGTCGATGTTAGAGAGTGACTGGGTCAATTATTATACAAAACCTTTCCATCTTTCATCCTTGTCATATCCTATCCTTCTTCTGTAGTCCCTTTCCCATCTAAGTCCAAACGCCTGCGCATATGATTCAATGCTTCCCAAGGATATCATCGCCAAAAAGAATACCAAATCTCTCAAACACACAGAGTCCTTTCCGTGTTCTCTATTCCGCCTTCTTCGACTGCTTCGTCCTCAACTTCATGAGAACATAAACCAGCGCATACGAACTAAACGCAAACAACGCCACAATCCCCGCATCCCTCCATCCATAATAATAATCATTCAAATTCAACGTATGAAGGTAATCCGACCCCCTTCCATACTGACAAACCCGACATCCACTCGTATCATCCGGATTAACCAAATTCGTCCTACTTCCAGGTCCTTGGAGGTATTCAGACAAATAGCTCGCGCAAGTTTCACCATTGGGTGTATCGAAGACGGCGAACTGGTCTTCGTTGCATTGCACTTCGGCGTCGAAGAGGGTGAAAACCAGCATGGAACCCATGAGGTAGTTGAAGGGGTTGAGGTAGTACATCCAGTATCGCCAGAAGGGTTGGATTTGGCTGTAGGGGAGGAGGACGCCGCAGAAGGAGACGAGGACTCCGATGATGAGGGGGTTGGTCAGGGCGGCGAAGACGGCGTTGGGGGCGTAGGCTGCTACGAATTGGCCGATACCTGGAGGGAGTTGTTAGTGAATGTGGTTTTGGAGGTGGAATGTTGAGGAGGGAGGGGGGTTGGACTGGACTTACCGGTATAGATGAACTCGTACATCAACATGACGAAGAATACTGCTCCGGCTTTGTTGCTGTCGCCGGGGAAGCCTACGGTGTAGTACCAGCAGACGTAGTAGAGGATGGCACAGATGATGAGGTATGGGATCTCGCTGACGATGAGGCCAGTGACGAAGGCGGACCAGTGGTACATTTTGCTCTTCTTTTCTCTTGCTTCGTAGATGTCACGACGTTCGAGGAAGAGTGGTTGCAGCTGGGCCATGACACCTGGTGCGACGAAGACGAAGTTGAAGATGGTGAACAAGGCCAATTGCAAGTCTGTGACGCTGTCGCCGATTTGCCAGAATGTGAAGCCGTTGAAGAGCGCACTGCCGATGTGTAGCGCGAATTTGTTGTTCGTGTACTCGTTGTTGCGGAAGAGTGCGGTGTTCATGCGTTGCGTGACGAGCTTCATTTGGTCCCAGATTGGCATGGCGAATTCGTGGCCGTCGTCGACAGTTCCCGGTGGTTTGGAGGCTGCGTCTTGGATGATGTGGTCGAGCTCGGTGGTCATGTTCTTGTACTCTGGGCTGTTCAGCCACACTTGGTTCCAGTCTTTGCCTTTGCTCAGTGTCCCAGAAACTACGTCAATCATGTGCTCAGCAGGGTTGGCGTTGGGTGGGCAGGGTGCATCGTAGCGACCGAAGTACTCCTTGATGGTAGCGCCGTTGTCTCCGATATCACCAAAGTAGACGGTCTTGCCTCCCTTGGCGAGGAGCAACAATGTATCGAATTGAGCGAAGAGGGCAGCGGAAGGTTGATGGATGGTGACGAGAACAGCTTGACCAACATCGGCGAGTTTGCGAAGGAAGCGGACAATATTGAATGCAGCTTGACCGTCCAAACCGGAAGTGGGCTCGTCGAGGAAGATCAGGATACTTGGCTTGGAAACAAGTTCGACACCAATAGTGAGACGCTTGCGCTGCTCGACAGAAAGACCTGCGCGGCTAGTGCCGATGATCGTGTTCTCGATGTCGTGCATCTCCAGCAAGTCGATAATGGTGTCCACATACTTGAGCTTCTCCTCGCGAGGAGTCTCGCGGCTTTGTCGAAGAAGTGCAGAAAACTCAAGCGCTTCACGGACAGTGGCAAGAGGCTCGTGGATATCGAGCTGTTCGCAGTACCCAGCCGAGCGTTGGAACGAGATTGGGAGTTCGCGGCCGTCGACCAGGATGCTACCCTTGATTGTACCTTCTGTCTTGCGTTGAGCGAGGACGTCGAGGAGAGTGGTTTTGCCTGCTCCGGAGGAGCCCATCAGAGCACCCAGCATGCCTGGCTTGACCCAGCCCTGTACATCGTCGAGAAGCACACGAGGACCCGAAGGTGTCTGTACCGTGTATGTGAGGTTCTTCCATGTGAACACAGAGGTGTTGCGGATAAGCTGGTCTTCGACGTTACCATCCTGGGAGCTCTTCTCCGCATCGCGAGCACGGGTCTTCTCTGGCAAGTTCTCTTCGTCGCTGACCAAGTGCATGGCAGCCTTCTGCTTCTCACGTGGGATGACCAGGAAGCCGGAGTTGCCAGAAGCCATGGACCATCGCGATGTGCAGTAGACAGTGCAAGCGACAAACAGGACCCACCATGCCCAGATGATGCCAAAGTTGCGCCAGATGCGAGAGGATGAATAAGACAGGCCCTCGAGATACTGTTCGCCAGTGACGAAAGCGGCTCCGACCTCAGCGCCTCTGACACCGGTACAAGCTTGGAAGCTAGAGTCCGTGTAGTTGGGTCCAAGAGGAACCAAATTGGGGCCTGTACAGGGAATGATGGTGTCTTTGAACTCAACGCCGAATAAAGCCTCGAAGCCGTATGCCAGTGGGTTGATCCAGTAAATCCAGACGAACCACGGGTGCATATCTGGCTTCGCAATCAAGTATCCAGCGTACATGATCAGTGCACTGACCGCAAATCCAGACACTTTCGATGCATCGTCGAATGTTTCGAAAGCCGCGCCTAGCCAGCGGAAGAATGCAGTCATGCATATGGCAGAAGCGAAGAGGATGACCCAGTAGCTGAAGAACGCACCCGCGGTCTCTTTCAGCCCCACCATGAAATACAATGGCAGAGCAAAGACGGTGACCTGGAAGAAGATGATTGGTATATCCGCTGCAATCTGTGCGAAGCAAAACGCTGCGGGATGATAGAATGCGAAGCTGCGATGCTTAGCAAGGACCGGACGAGCAGCGAAGGAGTCCGTGACTTCCGACATAGCGATGAGAGACATGTACAGCAGGGAGAAGAAGATAGCACCACCCTTGGAGAAGAGGCCGCCGGAGGTGTTGGGGGAGTCGTAGAAGAGGGATCCAGCAATGAGGGCCTGCACGATCGTAGAACCTTGTTTGATCACGAATGTTGCCTTATCACCCCAGATGAGTTGGTACTGCCGGATGACCGCAGCCTTCGTTTGCGTGTACAGGTCGACCGTCAAAGGTGACTTCTTCGGCAGACTAGGTGCTTTATCGTGCTGGACGCCTTCTTTGAAATCTGCTGTGTTCGAGATGGCGTCAGACGTGGTCGGATAATCATACTCTTTCTCCATGAGAAATTTGATCGACGTTCTCTCATACTCAGCGCGGATCTCGTCCGCGGTGCGAGGGAAGCGATCTTCGAAACCAGGTCTGATCTTTCGCTCCGTCGGCACGGTGACACCAGTGAGGTAGTCAGCGACGTTGGCTCCTTCGGTGTACTGGAATCCCAGATCCTCCATAAAGGGCTTCGCTTGTGCCATAGGCCCATAGAATATTTGCTTGCCTTCATCAAGAACAAGCACCTTGTCGAAGAGTTCGTAGATGCCGTTGCCGGCTTGGTAGAGTGTAACAATAGAGCTCAGCCCCATTACATCCGTCATCGCTCGGATGCAGCGGGTGTACTCGAGCGCTGTCGAAGCATCGAGACCTCGTGTGCTGTTATCCCAGCAGAATACTGAGCCACGAGAGGCCATGGTCTCAATAATGGAGACTCTCTTGCGCTCACCACCGGAAACACCGCGTACATATTCATTTCCAACCTTGGTCTCGTGTGTGTGTTCGATGCCCATCGACCTGAGGAAGAAGTCTCTCGTAATTTGTTGGAACTCTTCGGTTGTCTTTACGTTCGAAGGCAGATGGTTCGGGATCTTCATTCGAGTAGCGAAGTCCATCGTCTGGCCGACAGTCAAGGTAGGGAAGAATAGTTCTTCTTCAGTGTTCATGACGATCTGACCACGATACTGCTCTGCCTCTTTCGCATCCATCGACCCGAATTTGACATCGCCGGTGACCTCTGCATACCCGAGCCTCTTGTTGGCAAGCATCTTGAGTAATGAGGTGCAGCCGGCACCTGGGCGACCAAGGACGAGGAGCATTTCTCCAGGCTTGACACATCCGTGGCTGTCATCGATGATGGTCTTGAGCGGCGGTTTTTGCCGGCTTTCCTTGATGAGTCTTGGAATGTTGAATTGCGAGATGGCGTTTTCGTTGAAAGCAGCATCGGCACCAATGCCCTTCACAGTCAGATCCTTCCAAGTGACACCGAGCTTTCGTGCTTTGCCTCCATCAGCTTGTGTTTGCTGAGCTACAGCCTTCACCTCCTCCATAAGTTTCCAGTCTTTGGCTTTGCTGATGGATTCATCGCTTTCCATCGGGTCTTCATACTCAGATTTCTTCCCGCTGAATGTTCGCGAGATAGCATTGCTGAGTGTGCGGTAGACCTCTTCTCCTGATCCGCTGCCAGGCCCAGGTGTGGTCCACGACCCCGACCGTTGGAGGGAAGGCATCGTGGTGTGAGTTCCGATTTAGGTGTGATAGATCAGAACAACCAGACGTCGGACCCTGTTAGTGTGGGGAGGTCATGAGATGTTATGATCAAGAAGAGTGAGGGCGGTCGAGGACTTTTGTGTCAACTGTAAACGGGGTCAATGACGAGCTCTGGATAGCGCCATGTAGCCTTGCCGTGTCTATAGAGGCTCCTACTCGTCCGGTAGGCCAGACCGACAGTGAGACACCTTGGCTCGAGCTTTCTGGAAGGAAGTTGTAGCCACGACCCGATGGCCTGGCTTTTCGGCTAGTCAGCCATAGCTGCACGTTTTTCTCCGTGTCGGGGCTAGGTCGCCCAACTAAGTCCGGAGGAACGATGACACGACTGAAGATTCAACATGCAGCCTTTCTTTGTTAGGGCTTGGCAGGGCTGGCAGACCAACGCAGGCTTCGCAACCACGCCACTGCTTGAACTCTATTGTCACTGCAAGCTCTCAGCTGCAGTTTGCATCGAGCTCTGTGGAAATTGTTCAGTAGGGCGCTTCTTGACGCTGAGCCTTCATTGGCTGACGTAGTAGAACGTCGTGCAACATCTCACTATGGTCGGCCTTCGCAGTCTTTCGGGTCCACGAGGCGACCTTGGGGCCGAAGCGCTCAGCACTTCGAGTGGTTGCTCTGTCGTATGGCAGATTGACTTCATGTGAAGAGTGGGGCTTCTTGGTCAGACCAGCAGATCGTTGGCCACCGTTCTGTTATCGTGCGTGAGGCTTTTGGAAAGCCGTGCCCCAGTTAGAGATCTGTCCCAGAGATCGTACCCGGAAGAAGTGTCGTTCAAGGTCCCGAAAACAGAGCTTGGCTAGACCGAAAAGTTCGTCCGCGCTTGCGAACGGCAGACGGCAGCGTGAAGCTTCCGAGCCCCACCTTAGGGTTCGCTGCCGCAGGAACGAGGACTCTTTTAACTTCCGTCCACCACCTTCAGCTTTCACGACGATATTCGAGTTGTCCGCTCGATGTCTTCCTGCTGCTGCACGACTGTGAACGCGCGTAGCGTGGAATTGGTCATCGGTGTCGTGCTCTGCGTCTGCCAAGTGCGACCCACCTGGGACCTGGCAGAACGACGTGCCACTGTTCGCACGGGTTTTTCGAAAGTCCGTAGCCAAGACTTAGTGGCTACGACATCGAAGCTGTGGAAGCACTCCGCGCTGCGCGCGGAAGGGATACAGAGATGTTCCTGGATCTACAAAGTACGATCTTCAGACACATACATGCTCGCCACGGATCGGTACACGATCCTTTACTGCCATTGAGCGGCAGGGCGTGGAATATAGTCATTGTTGTTACGGTAGTAACAAACGTACGAAAAGAGTGTTCGAAGCTGTTGTGCCTCCCTTTAGAGTTGGTACAAACAAACATCGAATGTGATGGTACTGTTTGAGCGGCCATTATTCGTCCCCTGACGTTGAGAGCCTTCCGTCCGCGACTGACGTGCCTGCTAGAAAGTCCAACCCGCGGAAAAGTGTCGGCAGGCTTACATTGCTACTAGGAAAGATCTAGCAAGCCCTTGGTCGTTATCTTCTGCTCTGTATACGCTGATGCGACAAGGGCCTTGATTTACGGCAGTTCGCGGCGGGACCTGATCGCGAGACCTTTCTATATCAACCATTGTACCACGGACCGGAGTACAGCGATTCTCAAGAAGGCAGGATCGCATAGTAAAAGGATGTGCTCAGGTTTTAGAAAAGAATGATAACCAGGCCCCACGATGGAGATGCGAACTGGACTTTTCACACACACTGCGCCAGCAGATGAAAATGCGGCGATGCATTTTGTTCCTGGAGGTCGTGTTCTCGAAGATGAAGAGAACAAACAGAGAGGTCTTCTCCTGTTGGCATCTGCATTCGCATGGAACCAGACGGCCAACCGGTGGCAAGCGTGTGACGACCATTGCAATGCTTCCAGCTCTTCTCGCATGTGGCCATACCCTAGGTCAAGCTCCAACATCGTGCCTTGCCCAATCGGGTCCGAAATCTTGTGTGCAGATCTGGCTCGCAAGCACTTAGGCTCGAGTGTCGTCGCGTTACGAATGGGATCGTTTTCAGCTCGGGTCCTTTTGCTCGACGAAACGGCAAAACCATGGACTGATAGAGAACAAATCTAAACTCCAATAACCCCCATGTTCGCTGGAGTGGTCAGTCAAAACGGTGCAATGTTTCAGGTGCAAACTTTCGATGCCGACACCAATCAACTGCGAAACGAAGTCGCCAGAAAATTTGGGTTCGATGGATTCTGTGAATGCGTCGAGCCTGTGCTGAGGGGTACCTCAGTTGCGAACGCGGATCACATTCCGAAAAGCATTTCGCTGAGCGAGTTTCGATGAGCTTGGGGTTGTAGTCAATGCTGCGGTCGCTTTGCGTGAAGCATGGTGCGACTATATTTGTAGCCGTTGATGATTTTGCTTGGCGAGTTCGATCGTGATGAGGCGTAGCATTGGATGATGGTGAGTTCTCTGTTCTCTGAAGCCTGGAGTTCGCAAGGATCTCGTGTTTCACGTAATTGGCAGAGATTGTAGCCTCTCATAGTATGCGCGGACGCGCTGTTCCATTTGAATTTGACAGCAACCGTATATTGATGGTGCTCGCGTCGACCCCGTGGCAAAATTAGAGGACGTGGTTGAGGTCAAACATGTCCATGTCTACAAGTTATTTAAAGTCGCATGCAGTCGGCGACACGACTAGCGCCGCACGGGCCATTCCCATTACGACCCCTCGGACGCAGCACTGTTTGTCGCAAAGCAGGCACAGGAACAAGGTTGTTTTGAGGATCATGCCTCAGGGAGGCCGGACACCTGTCGCTACGTGAGCAAGAAGAAAGCAGCAACCTCGACACATACGTCGCCCGAGCGCAGCGCAGCCCACGACCGAGCGTGGCAGACGCACGTGTGGACAGGTGTGATGCATCAGCGGTGCTCTACCGGCCATACATGTCACCGCCCTATGCATCCGACTGCTCCATAAGCTGCCGGCAATGAGCAGCAACAATGCCCGCGCCAGCTCCGCCCATTCCAGCGCTACGCTAAGGCCTCGCACCGCGCGACTCATCTCCGGCCTCGACGAGGGCGATGAGTCCGCCTTCGATCCTGTCAATGCCTCTCCGAAACGCATCGCCTCGCCGCTTCGATCTCCCTACGCAAGCCGCTCCGTCTCTCCCATACCCTCGGCGCATCCGCAGCGATTGAGTCCAAATGCACGCCGACACGATGCCGCAGCGAGATCATCGAGAGCAGCGAGCGCGGAACAAAGGACGACCTCTCCCAGCCTTGCGGGACTCTGGGGAAGCTCATTGAGTGCTCTGCAAGGCATAGCGCAAGATTTCCTGGGGACAGATCCGTTCGAGCAGGAATCAAGTGTGCGGCCACGAGACCGGAGGCCACACGGAAGGCAGCACACTGCGCGGACGAGTACCAGTGCACCTCCTGCTGAATGGGGCCCCTCGGCAGCATCAGGCTCCAGATCTGGCGGAATTGGCGGAGGCACCACTGAAGAGCAGACTGCAGCCGTGCGAGCTCAGAAAAGAAAGGCAATGCTGACTGGACAAGAAAGTAGCTACGCGGACACGTTGGGCAAGTTCAAGAGAAGATTATCGGATGACAGAGCTGCTACCTCCGCGCCCCCCGGCGATGGAGATGAGAGGGATGCCCTGGCGTATGTACATCAAGTCACGAAGAACGACACACTCCCTGGAATTACCATACGATACAACATCTCTGCCAACATGCTACGAAAAGCCAATAGAATGTGGCCGAACGATAGCGTGCAGATGCGAAAGACTTTGTTTCTTCCAGTAGACGCATGTGGTGTCAAAGGAAAGCCCGCCACGGCCGCAGAAATCGATCTCTTGGGGTCTGAGAGCGAGTCACTCTCAACGTTGCATGCGGAGGAAGTCCCCACCCCAACTGCAGCGAATCCAGCGCCGAATGGGATCAGTCAAAGCGTTTCCAATCACAACAGGAATCGCACGAATTCAGCATCCACGCACACAAGTAACTCTGCGACAAGCGTGAATGCGCACGGCGAAGCAGAATGGCAACATGACTCCTGGGTTATGCTACCCGGCTTCGACCAGCCCGTTCAGATCGCGCGGCTTCCACGGCGGGCACTCGGGTATTTCCCTCCCGCAAGGCGAAAGAGCAACTCCTGGTCAGATCTCGACACTCCTTCAACGTCATTGGAGCTTTCGCGGTCGAACACTGGCGATCTACTGAACCCTCCATCATCTCCTCGGAACCAGATCCCACCCCAGAGACCTCGGCGGAGGCCTAGCAATGCCACAAATGGATACTTTCCCGCGTATCTGCAAGGACCCGGTGGGGTAGGCACGATGGACAGGCATGTGCGATTTCCAGGACCGGCGCAGGATACCTTGAACAAGATGATGGCGAAGCACTTGCCAGACGTTGCGCCTCCCCGAAACCAGACCGCACTGTACCAGCCTGACTTGCCTTTGTACAGTGACGAAGCAACGTCGCTTGGCTCAGGCACGGCTACACCAGCTTACCCGCACGGAGGTGGAGGCTCAGGGGGTCTGAATCTGCAAGACATTGGTGGATCGATTGAGTCCTGGGTGCGAAAACTGGCCGCAAAGTCCACGTTGACTCCTGGCGGCAGACAAAATCCCGCTCGAGTGTCGGTTGGCACCCCTGGGAAGGGAGCTGGTGGTATAGGTGACCTGATAGAAATGACCGACGAATTTGAGATCGGCGGAGATGAGGAAGAAGAAAGAGGCCGACAGGGCTCGGCTGAGCAGGCGACTGCTGGGTGCAAACCAGGCACAACAGCTACAAGCTATTTCGATGGCGCAGCTGTAGGAGGTGTCAGCAGAGAACGGCGGGTGGGAGGCAAGAGTGGTAAATCTGATTGATACTGATACCACTCGCTGGGCATAATGATTAGAGGCGTGTGCCATATCACATATTTTAGATGCGGGATCCGCCAGCATGCCCGTCTATTCACTAGCGCTTCCTCTTGAGTCTGGCCATGCCAAGTTGCCCACGAGGACCACCTAGCAACGTGCATAGTGTATTGCGGCTCTTGCGGCAGAATCGTCTTTTACCGACAACGCCGCCAAGCGAGCCCTGAAGGTCCAAACGTGGAAAGTGCACCTTCTGTGTGTCCGTCATTTGCTGGTCCTGCAATAAGGACGACAAGGCAGCGACGAATGCAGCAGATTTCACGAAATATCATCCAAATGAAAAGAAATAACAAATGTCCACGAAACGAAAAGTCATCATAGACTGACAGAACACCACACAGCAAGACATGCCGCATCAATTATTCCCAGCGCATTCCCGGAGCCAAGCGTGGATCTCTGATCATCCAAGATGTGGAGCAACCAATCAAATCTTCCAAAATGTCATGATCCATGTGGATCCTCGGGTGAAGCCCCTCGGTGAAGCTCTGTTCCATCTCGTCAGTATGCAGCCACGCTTGTGCGCATTTACCGCAAGCCAAAAAGGCACGATGCCGGCCGTCGCTCGCAATGGAAGACGACAACCACAGGACAGGAGCGTCTTCCTTCACTTTTATTTTGCCTACGGGGACTATCAGTTTACTGTTCCCTATATTGTTCTGCATATACTGTTTACCATCATTGGAGCTGTAGTGCTTGCGTTCCAGTTGGGGGTTTTGGAGGTTCATTGGCCGCCACCTGCGATTGAGGGTTGGTAAAGAGTTGAGTTGAGGCGAAGAGGCGAGGCATTGAAAAGAATACACATCACAATGGCACACCGAATCGGGCGAACGGTCTTCGATGCGACTTCGACGTTACGATCTAGTACTTCGTCCTCCACTCGGTCAAACACATCAGCTTGGAGAAAACACCAGCGAATAGCACCACTGCCCACACAACAGAAACGCGGCATCCTAGGCCACACCCAACGAAGACGAGCAACGACTGCCTCCGGCTCATACCTTGATCCGAACAAACACCCTCTCATCGACCACCACTACGATGCCATAGTCGTAGGAGCCGGCGGCGCAGGCCTCCGAGCAGCAGTCGGCCTTGCAGAAAGCGGTCTCGAAACAGCCTGCATCACCAAACTCTTCCCCACACGCTCGCATACCGTCGCAGCACAAGGTGGTATCAATGCCGCTCTGGGAAATATGACCGAAGACGATTGGAGATGGCATATGTACGACACAGTCAAAGGATCAGATTGGCTGGGAGATCAAGATGCTATTCATTACATGTGCAGAGAAGCGCCCAAAGCTGTTTATGAGTTGGAGAATTATGGGATGGCGTTTAGTAGAACGGAAGATGGGAGGATATATCAAAGAGCTTTGGGAGGGCAGAGTTTGAAGTATGGGAAAGGTGGGCAGGGTGTGAGGTGTTGTTCTGCGGCTGATCGGACTGGGCATGCTATGTTGCATACTTTGTATGGGCAGAGTGTGAAGCATAATACGAACTTTTTTATTGAGTATTTTGCGATTGATTTGTTGATGGTTGACGGGGAGTGTGTGGGTATGCTTTGTATGAGTATGGAGGATGGGACGTTGCATAGAGTGTTTGCGAGGAATACGGTGCTTGCGACTGGTGGATATGGAAGGACGTATTTCTCTGCGACGAGTGCACATACGTCGACCGGTGATGGCAATGTGAGTATCATTGATTCCTGGACTGCGAAGCATGTTCACTGATTTGGTCACAGGCAATGGCAGCACGTGCAGGTCTTGCCAATCAAGACTTTGAGTTCATTCAGTTCCATCCGACAGGCATCTATGGCGCCGGTGTGCTCATCACAGAAGGGTCACGAGGCGAGGGTGGTTACCTCCTGAATAGCGAGGGTGAACGATTCATGGAGCGATATGCCCCTACAGCAAAGGATCTTGCGTCACGAGATGTGGTGTCGCGATCTATGCACATGGAGATCCGAGAAGGACGAGGCGTTGGAAAAGATAAGGACCATGTCTACCTTCAGCTCAGTCACCTGCCTGCGGATCTCATCATGGAACGACTACCCGGCATCGCAGAAACAGCCAGCGTGTTCTCTGGCGTTGATGTGACGAAAGAGCCGATTCCTGTTCTCCCGACAGTACACTACTGCATGGGCGGTGTGCCAACGAATTGGAAGGGCGAAGTGTTGAATATCGATCAGACCACAGGGCAAGAGAAGGTCGTGAAGGGTCTCTACGCAGCCGGAGAGGTGGCTTGTGTCTCCGTGCACGGCGCCAATCGACTGGGAGCGAACAGTCTGCTTGACATCGTCGTGTTTGGCCGGGCCTGTGCGCTTGATATTGCGGCGAACAACGACAAGGGGGCTCCTCATACCAAGGTTCCGGAAGACATCGGCCTCGACCACATTGCATCGATGGAGAAGATTCGACAAGCAGATGGCGATAAGCTGAGCGCTGAGATCCGGACCGACATGCAAAAAGTCATGCAAGCTGATATCTCAGTCTTCCGAACGAAAGAGGCCCTAGATGTTGGCAACGAGCGTATGCAGAAAGTCCAAGAGGACTTCAACACCAGACTCGCTGTGAAGGACAAGTCCATGATCTGGAACTCGGATCTGATCGAGACGCTAGAGTTGAAGAACCTCTTAACTTGTGCTGCGCAGACGGCTAAGTCAGCGCAACTTAGAGAGGAGAGCAGAGGTAGTCATGCTCGAGAAGACTTCCCCAGTCGGAACGATGATAAGTGGATGAAGCATACGCTGAGTTGGCAGAAAGATATTGGACAGGAGACCAAGATCGGATATCGTGGTGTTGTCATGGATACTCTGGATAAGAGTGAGATTGATACCATACCTCCGGTTGCGAGGACGTATTAGATGTGTGTTGTAGAGTCTAGATGGCTGTTCGATTTGAGCGTTGCTTGCTAGGAAACAGCTTCCATGAGTACAATGCGACTTGTTCCTGTCTGGTTAAGTCCGATCTGTATTGCTGGCGATGTCGTCGAAAGAAGTGGAAGTCAATTACTAGAGTTTCTGACGGAGTGCTGTGAGGTACTGCTGTGTGTATTCCAGATTGGAACACCTCGTTCCCGAGCGCCAGCCACAGTAGAAGTACCACCCAAAAAACGTCGGTGGCTTCGAAGTCGCAGATTAGTCAAATGCGATGAGGTACAGGGTTTCTTTTGCCCTTGTGTCGGCTGTGGCGCTGAAAGTCGAAGGAACTCCGGAGTGGTTGCATCGGTACGGCCGAGACATGTTCTCGGTCAACACTCTCATCTTCGTATGCGAATCTCGCGCTTTACCTCCTTCGCATTGTGGGCGTCCGGACGATGGCTATGCGAACCAAAGGATGGATATGACGGAGAAGAAGCAACAGCCAAGCAAAACAAGAAATGCTTGCTTTGCAACGGCTCTCTCCGCATTTGACCTCTCCTCAATCCTCAGCCTCGGCCATTCCTTGCCTGCACACATCCACACCCGCTATGCGCTGCAACCGGCTCCTCATCTACATCTAGTTGCGCCCCAATGGAAAGCACGATGGAAGCGGCTAATGGCACAGAGGCAGGAAAGATAGCCCTTGGCCTGCCGCACTCGGGCAAGCGCGGGCGTTCTTGCAGCAGCGATCTTCCACTCGGCCTGCTCGAATGACGGTCCACCACCGCGCGGGAAGTGCTATGGCTGCCACACACTTGCAGCAATCAAGCTTGCCAAAGCCTTTGCCGACGCTGATCTTTGCAAGCCATGTTGCTTAGCCAAAGCGTATTATCGCTGGGCGACCGCACGACCTCTGTGACCTTCTTCTTTGAGCACAGTTCATGCTGCTCGCGTGAGGAGAGCGAGTGTAGCATCGTGCTGTTGGCTCAGAGATGCGCACCTTCGACGCTAGAACCGAGGAGCTGTCATCGGATTCGCGTGTGCTGCGACTGGTATAAAGATGGCAAGAACGTCCAGCTAGGTCAGTCATCCCGAATCGCCGTCTTGTGGCTCTCAAGATGCATTTTACTTCTTTCGTAGCGGCTGCAATCTCTTTGGGAGTGGCTGTTGCTGCTCCTGCTAATGTACAGCGACATGTCCTCCATGAGAAGCGGGCTTCGTCTGAGAACTGGGTCAAGGGCGAGCGCCTGAGTCCTGATGTCAAGATGCCAATGCGAATTGGACTGGTGCAGGAGAACTTGCACAAGGGCCACGATTGGTTGATGGAGGTGTAAGTCTTGAGAAGCAAGCAAAGACATCAATGTCCATACAAGCTAATCATCAAACGCAGCTCTGACCCAGATTCTCCTCGTTACGGAAAGTACTACAGTGCTGAGGAGGTTCACGACCTCTTCGCTCCAGCTGGGCATGCTGTCGACGCTGTGAAGAGTTGGCTTCACGATGCTGGTCTTCATCCCGACCGTATCTCGCAATCTGCGAACAAGCAGTGGATCCAGTTTGATGCCACTGTGGCTGAGGCGGAAGCATTGCTGCAATCGAAGTATCACTTCTACGAGCATGCCGCCACCGGCAAGTCCACTATCGGCTGTGATGAATACCATGTTCATCATGAGGTCAAGAGGCACATCGACTACATCACCCCAGGAATCAAACTCATGAAGTAAGTCGGGCCGTGTTTCATGGAAGATGACTTGACCGTCATGCTGACTTGGAATGCAGCACTCGCAGCACGCCAAAGGAAGACATCGAGAAGCGCACTTTCGGGTGGGGCAAGGGACAAGGCACGCAGCCTCCTCTCCTCAAAGCACTGCCGGCGACAATTGAGAGCATTCTCGCCTCGCCCCTGTCTGCCATCTGTGACGTTGCTATCATTCCTTCGTGTATCGAGGCGATGTACAACTTCACAAAGGCCACCAGCGCCGTGCCGGGCAACGAGCTGGGCATCTTCGAGGACCTTGGCGATGTCTACTCCCAGACTGACCTTAATGAGTTCTTCTTGCTTCTGCAACAACGCATTCCAGTTGGCACCCACCCAGTGTTGAAGGCCATTGACGGTGCAAAAGCACCCAACCCAGTGACTAGCGCTGGTCCAGAGTCTGACCTTGACTTCGAGATCAGCTACCCCATCATCTGGCCTCAGAACAGCATCCTCTTCCAGACTGATGACCCAGTCTACGAGGCGAACTACACATATGCTGGCTTTCTCAACAACTTCTTCGATGCTTTGGACGGCTCTTACTGCACAACAGGAGATATTGAAAAGCCGGATCTCGACCCGGTCTATCCCAACCCAAGCAACGCAGCTGGCGCCTACAAGGGACAGAAGCAATGTGGTGTCTACAAGCCGACAAATGTTATTTCCATTTCTTACGGTGGTCAAGAGCCAGATCTTCCTGCATCGTACCAGCAACGACAGTGCGCAGAGATCCTCAAACTTGGCATGCAAGGTGTCACTACCGTTGTCGCCTCCGGTGATTCTGGCGTGTCAGGCCGACCTGTCACTGGTGACAATGGCTGCATCAACCAGAAGATCTTCAACCCTGGTACATATGACTGTTATCATAACGATTGGAAACATGCGCTGACTTCATACAGACTTCCCCGCCTCGTGCCCATACATTCTTTCTGTCGGATCCACGGTATTGACTGGTAATGCGAACAAGGATGAGGAGACAGCGACTACTCGCTTCCCGGTATGCGGCCCACAACAGCGTGATGTATCAATTCACAAGCTGACATTTGTACAGTCCGGAGGTGGTTTCTCCAACATCTACCCTCGCCCAGCGTACCAGGATGCTGCAGTAAAGCAGTACTTCAAGACTGCCGGTACCCAGTACCCTTACTACACTGGACAGACGTACGGCAACGGCATCTACAACATGAGCGGTCGTGGATACCCAGATGTGAGCGCTGTTGGAGATAACATCGTGGTCTTCACAATGGGAGCCCCTACACTCATCGGCGGTACCTCCGCTTCTTGCCCTGTCTGGGCTGCCCTCCTTACTCGAATCAACGACGAGCGTCTCAAGGCAGGCAAGCCCACTGTTGGGTATGTCAACCCGACTTTGTATAAGAACCCGCAAGCAATGCACGACATCACTGTCGGATCGAACCCAGGATGCAATACCAATGGCTTTACTGCCTCTGCTGGCTGGGATCCTGTGACTGGACTTGGTACTCCCAACTACCCGGCACTGTTGAAGGTGTTCATGTCCATTTAGAGAGATAAGCTTGGTAACAGCCTCTTGATTGCGACAGACGTGATGGAGACAGGACTGTGAGAAGGACCATACACGGGAGCCACGAAGGTAGCATGATAATGAATAATGAGACATTTCCACGTGCCAGTGAAGAAGTAACTCGACTTTTACAACGTGAATATCTGTGCACATCACGTGTGTTCACATGGAAGAGAGTGAGACAGCCTTGGCGCCCCTCATCCTAGCACATGTACGTTCGGCATCTGTTGACCTGTAAACATTTGGTTCCGCATTTGTTCGCGTGTCACTCTGCCACTCTGCTCGACTTTGACGCTCGAATAAATTGACATCGCTTGACAATTCCGAAGCACATTTGTTGCAACAGCCTCGGAATCGCTCGAGTCAGCCGGTGACACAAGCAGATACCACGAGACTGCCGCCTGCGACGTTGAGCTTCGCACCACGTCTGAACGTCGCCTGCCGCTTCTCGTACACCCCAAAGTTGGACGGCCTGAACACCAGCGAATCTCGTCTCACCGCTTCTGCTCCGCGTTCAAATTGCCTCGATTTGGCTTTGTTATTGGCTGGCCCCACCTCTAGCGAGTAATTGCCGATCGACAGCACGCCCGCCTCTCTCTTGCCGCGCCCAGCTGCTGTCATCGCCCACCCTGCACGGGACTGCTCAGGGAACGACGCGTCGCTCACAGGAACTGCTGCAAAATCCACACACACAGCCCATCATGGCCGCCGACAAGGACACGGCGGTGCTATCAGACAACGAGGGAGGGGAGAAATCGGCACGCGAGAGACTCAAGAAAGCCAATATCCACGACCCGAACGCCCTACGAACCGACGACGAACTGCAAGACGCCCCTGCCCCGACTAGTGCTCCGGCCGACGAGACCACAGAAACCAGCGACGGAACCCGAGGGAGGATACAGCGGAAGCGGAGCTTCGAGGAGGTAGAACCAGACACGCCCGAGCCGGCTTCAACTGCACCTTCCAAATCGCACACCCGAAAGAGATCACGAGATAGCACGGCTGAGGAGGATGCATTGAACAATGGTCAGCGGAAAACCTCGGGCGAGCGACCGAGGAACGGCAATGGGGCAGACGTTTACGCCGCGGATGCCAACGGGCAAACCGAGCCTACTGGTGCTTTGACCCCAGAGCGGACTGGCGAGGATGAGGCAGGAGTTGAGGCGTTGGCGAGTCCCAAAACTAAGAGGAGCCGGCTACACTCAACGACCGAGGACGCGGAGGCTATCATCGCGGAGAGCACTGGCTTGGCTACTTCAAGTGCGTTGGCGGAGAAAACTGCTGCGTCGACAGCCGAGTCCAAGACGGAAGCGGCAGAAGGCTCTGCGGGCAAAATAGCACCTGGGAGCGCCTTTGCCAATACATCCTCGTCTTCACCCTTCGGAGCTCTAGCGGGCAGCAAATCACCCACCGGTGAACCTTCTGCCAGCGCTTTTGCATCCTCAAAATTCGGCGCCCTCGCAGGCTCATCATCTTCAGGATTTGGCGCTCTTGGTAAGACCGCGGGCGGGCCAGGACTGGGTGGAGGCTTTGGAAGTGGGAGTGGCAGTGCATTGGGTAGCACAGAGAACGAAGCACCAAAGGCTGCGGGCAGTGGCTTCGGTGGTGCTCTTGGTCAACAATCAGCCTTTGCCTCTACAGCTAAGAGCGGGAGCGCGTTCGGCTCGAGCGCATCAGGATTTGGCAGTCTTGGAGGAGCAAGCAGCGGAGGATTTGGAGGTGGCTTTGCTAGCACAGGCTTCAGCAGTCTGGGAGGCGGCGGTGGTTTGTCAAGCTTCGCCAGCGGTAAGCCTGCCGCCCCTCTAGGAAGCAACTCAAAGCCATTTGGAGCAGCAGCAGACGACGATGATGCTGAGGATGGAGGCGAGGATGACGAGGATGGCGCTGGATATAAGAGTCCTCTGTCGCAGGAATCCGACAAGCAGGACGAGCGATTCTATGCCCAAGACATCGAGACTGGTGAAGAGGGAGAGTCGACTGAAATGACCTGCCGCGCGAAATTGTACAACTTTGCTACCGGCGAGAGTGGAAAGAAGGAGTGGAGAGAACGCGGCGTCGGAGTGTTACGCCTGAACGTACAGCGACCTCTGCACGACGACGATGACACGAAGACCACCGCTCGACTGCTCATGCGAGCCGACGGGTCCCACAGGGTGCTACTCAACACGCCTATCCTACCTCAGATCAACTTCGGCCAGCCGGATGGCAGCAGGCCGAACGGTAGCTTTGTCTACTTCATGGGTACCATTGATGAGAAGAAGGAGCTGCAGCTTTTGCAGTTGAAGGTAGGAACCTCTGCACATGTCAAGATGGGCGCCCATCGGCTAACTTCGTGACAGGTGAAAGCAGTCAATGCTCTCGAGCTCTTCGACAAAGTCAAAGCTCTGCAAGAAGAAATGTAAGAAGCATCAAGCATACGAACGACACTTTTTTTTTTTTTTTTTTTTTTTTTTTGAAAANNNGGGCCAAGATTGGCAGAGCACAATTTGGATCGAAAAGAAATGGACGCGCAATAGCACTATACCCAGGAGCATCCGTACAGCTCATACAGCATTTGAGTTATTCTCGAGCTTGGGAACATGTTGATGCAAGCGTCTTGCCTGTGCGCTATCGCACCAGATAGCGAGGGGCTTGGTATGCCCGTTTGGGGCTCATTGCGATCCAGTTGCTCATAAGAAAGGCATTTGCCCATACATAACATAGATGGTGTGTCTGCCACGTATAGAAGAGCAAGGCTTCACGATGTAGTGCATGATAATGGATGGTCGTGTGTACTTCCGCACAAGTTACATTTGACGATCCCACTGCCTGAATTTAGTCGAATAAGGAGTATAGTGGAAAAGCAGAAGGGAAGATCTGGAGTGGCAAGTCGTCTCTCTATCAGGACTATCTGGTGGAGTGTAGTGCTACTTGTTTCTTCTTCTCATGAACCCCATAAAAGCCATCTATCCTCATATGCTCATCAATGCTGCTTGCTTACTTACTTGCTCATCAACATCTCGAAAGACCCATACATACCAAATCCAAAATCAGTCAACATCAACAGAAAAAGGAACTCTGTACACTCATCACCTCCAAAACACCCCACCACCTTGCTGCAACCTCTTCCCATCAGCACCTAATCCACCCATAGCCCTCTGCTCCGCCAAAATCTTCTGCCACCTCTTATACTCTTTCTCTCGACTACTCTCGGCCGCAGCGCCAATACTATACGCCACAGTACCAGCTCCCAGACCCGAGAACAGAGCCCATTTGGCGCTTTGTCTCCAACTTCGATATTTGCGTCGTTGCTCTTTCTCCTCGTTCTTGGTGCTGCGATCTTTCTTTGTGCTACTACTGCTGCTCTTGAGACGAGTTCCAGAGAAAACTTGTTCTTGACGGGTGACGCGTGGGTAGTGTTTGATTTCGGTGTCTTCATCGGCTGCTGCTTCTTTCTGTGCGGCTTCGTGTTCCCAGCGATCACCTACGAAACCTGTTGGAGAGGCGAAACTGCCTGTTGCGGGCTCCTCGTAGCCTGTTTTGTCGACGGGATTGATCTTGGGTGCGGATTCAGCGGCAGTGGGCTCGACTGCAGCAGGTGCGACAAGTCCGTGGTCTTCGAAGGCTGGTGTGCTTTCAGGAGCAGGGGTTGCGGCCTCGGTCGTCGACTTGGCTTTGCGGAATACGAGAAGATCTTTCGTTCCATATATGACTTGGAAGCCTTGCTTTTGTAGCTCAGCAAATTCTGGAATGAAGCGTGCGGGCTGATAGAGCTGCGATAGAGCTTCGGGTATCGAAATGGGAGTTTCTTTGCCAGTGAAGTTTGTCGAGGTCGTCGATGTGACGAGGAAGTCGTTTCCGGAGTCGTAGGCGAGCACCTTGTAGATGGGAGGCTCTTCCCACTCCAATCCGGGCATCGTAGTGGCGCGAATCGGGTGCTGAATATCGGCGTCCACACTTCTGGTACCGTATACTTCCTTGTCCATAATAGATTCCGCTTCGCGAGATTCCTTGTTTTGCTGGGCGAGCTCAGCTTCGAGGTTGTCTGGCTGAAACTTGTACTTCTGTCCCGTCTCATGTTCTGCAAGAGCATTGCCCAGGTCTGTATTCGCCTCGAGCTCGACGGCTTCGACAGAGTGGATTTGCCGGGCAGTATGTGTCTTCTCGTGTGCTTCCAGTGCCGCATCGACATTCGATTGGCGGTGATCGACGTCAATCTTGCCATATCTATTCTCGTGAATGTCACGGACCTCTTTGACAAGGGCCTGGTCATGCTTCTTCTGTGCGGCTCTTCGTTCGTACTCAGCCAATGCTTGGTCGATTGGGTGCGGCTTTGGTTCCGATTCTGCTGGCTTCTCTTGACTTGCCTTCTGTTCATATGCCGAGCCAGCTCTCAGATCGTACTCTGATAATGCCTGGTCACGAGTATTGTTCAAGGACTTTAGCGAGGGCTGGAGTTGCTGCAAACCTTGCGTGAGAGCACTTGCATCCTGCTTGTACCACTTGCTGCTGTCTTTGGCGAACTTGGTAACATTGGTGCTCATGTCGCCTTCAGCCTGCACGGCTTCAACTGGCTTGTCAGAAGAGCGCGCACGTTCGACTTCTTTCTCAAGCTCACGGATACGCTCAACCAACATCTCTGCATTGATACTGCTCTGCTTGAAAGTGGTATCCAGCTCTTCGCGTAATGCCTTGATCTTCTTGATGTACTTCTTCTTCTCAACATCCGATGTCTCTGAGCGGCTCTCCGGTGTCGTTTGCAGTCGCTTCTCGAGCTTCCGGATGGTGTCTACATGACCTTCGGAGTTCTCGCTGCTTTGCCTGTAGGCAATGTCAAGCTCCTTCCGGAGTTCCTTGATCTTCTCCTGGCATCTTTGAACCTCGTCACGAGCAGGCTGGGGGACCGTGGCGGGAGAGATCGAAGTGGTATTCCAGATCGTCCCACTCACGACGGGTTGGTGTTCACGTGCGTTCATGCGATTCTTCTGTTCTTCGACCTCGGCTTGTAGAAGCGCATTTGCTTTCAAAAGCCTGGCCCGCTTCTCCATGTCACGAACATCGGCACCCAACTTCTCGGCGGCCTCATTAGCGTCTGACGTTGCTTTGCGAGCACTCGCGATATCGACCCATCGAGAGCTGGATTTGCGACCAAGTACATCGCCTTGCACACGGTCCTCCAGACTTCTCCTTTCGCGCATTCGTTCGAGCATGTTTGCGCCAGAGACACGAAGATCGTCAATCTTCTGCTCCAGAGAGTCTTGCAAGTCTTGTCTCCTCTGAATGCGGTCAGCTTGGAAGAGTGCAGCTTGATCCTCGCGCTGTTTTGCGACTTCGTTGCTCTTGTATTCGCCGAATTCTCCTGTTGACTCGTGAGCTGCAGAATCGTCCGGCTCCTCTGTTAGTGGCGTAGATTTGTGCTGCATGCGGTCCAAGGCTGGCTGTAGTCTTGTGGGTGCTGGAGTTGCGGCTGGAGAAGTGCTTTGCGCCCTCGCTGGCAGTTTTGTAGTATCCAAGGATGCAATCATCATATCGTTGCAACCCATCTGCTCAATTGGCACTCGCTTGGAGACCGACTTGTCAAGCAGCGGCTTCTTGTTGACAGCATCCATGGTATCTAGCTCTTTGTGCAGTGCCGAAGCCTTCTCCTCCAGCCTAGCAATCTCACGCTGGATCTTCTCAACATGGAAAGCACCGACTTCCTGCTTCAGCAGCTTCATCTTCTGCTTGGTGACGTCGTACAGCTCCTGGTTGAGCATGACTCGATGTTCTGCCTGCTCCCACTCACTCATTTTGCGAGGATCTGGCTTTCCATGTCGATACGCGCGATCAGTGTCGACTGTGGTTCGTATGGGAACAGCACTCTTCTCGGCTTTCTTTTGCCCTACAGATGCGCGCACGTCTGCCGCGGTCAAAGAATCAGGATACTTCTCGTGCTTCGTAAGTGACGCTGCTTTTGGCGCATTAGCCACTACGGAGGTGTTGATCAGCGAAGGGAAATAGACCGATGTCTTGCGGCCCTTGCTGTCCTGCGTAGGCACTGAGATCGCCTTCTTAGTCTCGCTTACTGCATTGACTGGAGCTCCAACGGTAGCTGACTCCGTCGAGGGGTTGCCCAAGCCTGATTGCCAGCCATGCGACATGAGTGGCGACTGTGATCTTGCCGGGTAGTCTTTCAACGCATCCTCAACCTTCCTCACTTCAGATACAGGCGGGCCTTTTACCTGCACCATACGGTTGCTGATTGGATCATACTCGTACCGGCGCTTCTCACCTGATACGGAGTCCCACTCCACGCGGCTTGCCTTCTTGGTCCATGAGTCCCACGAAGTTGTAGCACCATAAGAGTAGCTGGTCTGTTGGCCATCGGGTGTGTCACTGCTCACGTCAACGGTTGTTTTCTTCGGATCGTATTGGTATCGTGTCGACGCAGCCTGGTCTTGTGGTGCCCCATTGCTCGAATGGACTTGCCTCTTTGTCTCCGGTTCTAGTGGTCTATAGGATACTTGACTTGGATCTACCTTCTGTGGACGGCTCGGGGTTGTGCTTGGATTGGCTTTGGCCTCGGAAGGATCCTTTGACCGAGAAGCGTCCTTCATACCCATTTCTTCTTTCATCCAGCTTGGTACAAGTGAATTCCAGAACGGTTCGAAGCGCCGGCCAAAGACTGCCTCATATGGGTCTTCGTTTATGCGTTTCCGCAATGCCTCCATGTGTTCCTTCCATTGTCTCTCGCGTTGGCTCAACTCGATGCCATCGTCCTCGGCTGATTTCCGAGCCTGGGCTTTATGATTTTGCTTGTCCTGCTCTTGCTCGGGGGCCCATCTGGGTCTGCCAACGTGGCTTGCCCATCTGATGTGCTTCGGCGTGAGGAAAGGACGCTGTAACAAGTCCCAGTCCCATCGACCTCGTCTGCGGAGTTTATCTAGCATCTTGGCTCGTGTCTTTAGTGTGCGATAGCGAGTCATTCGGTGATACATTGGATCGATCTGCGAGGTGTAGTCACAAGGTCGTCGCCACCACAAGCTGCGGGCTTGAATGGAAGTCGTGCCTGGGCGGGCAAGGGTGGACGTGGACGACCGGAGCGCGCTGGTAGACATGGACCGAGGTCTCGCAGAGGCGATGCTCTGCTGCAGGTGAGGTGTGAGCATGTCGCTGACTGACCGCTATGCCGAGCGGTATAGCTCCCTGTCCAAGCGTGCTGTCGGCGAATCTGTGCTATCGACACGTCATCTGCGTACTATCAATGATGGTGAAGCGTGGATGGACAGCAGACGGGCTGCTGGAGGTGGTGTCAATGACAAGCAAAGTCTAGAAAGTGGCCAGCAGTAGTAGGAGAGGAACGGGAACAGGCACGACAGTCGATGGAAGGTGTAGGAGCTCAGCTCGCTATCAAACACCCGTTGCTCCATCCGGTGTTGTCCACGACCTCGCGTGCCGCTGTGCCTCGCTCCAATCTAGCACCATCCGACCCCGCGTCGTGTCGCAGCGTGCGTCCAATCACTCTCTTCACTCGTGTGGGGCGCTGACTGATCTCTATCACGAGACGTGGGACTATGGGGAGAGAGCTCCGCAGTGAGCAGACGGAAATATACGCACGTCCGGTATGTGAGCTACGCCTGCGCTCAAGTCAGGCACATCGAGTTCCAGCCCTTCGATTATATCGTACTGTCCATCCATGACTACATTCAATGCCCTGCTTGTACCATACCATTTGCCTCCTATGTGCCTCGAGTCGACAGCACACCAGCATACTGCAGCGACACCTCCAGCACGCAAATAGAGCCCGGACCTCTCCATGCCGGCAAATGTGAACGGGCATTTCGCGTCATGATCTCAGATTGAGTCGTGTGTTACCATGGAGCGCGTCAAGTATGAACCGCTCCATCTGTGGCAACGACAGTAAAGGTAGTCTTGGGCATCGTGAACATCATCGTACAATGCTGAGCATGGCCAAGCGTCTGGTATCTTGCCTCCAAGACCACCTTTCCTTGCTGTGCCAGCATTGCTTTCTGATAGAGATACAGACAATGCAACATATGCCACTCCCAACTGGCATACCCTCCGGCGACGCCCGTCTCATGCTCCCAGTAATTCGCCAAGTTCTCGACCTCTTCGGACGACATTTCCTCTGTCCTGTTCTCGTCTCGGTAGAAGTGCCATTCGCCGTCCGCATTGTAATGCGCGGCTTCTGCTCGAAATTTCGCGTCGAGCTCGGAGTCGTGGCAATGTGGCGGCATCCAGGAGGGGCTGATGGGATCGAAAATGCATCCCAGCGATTTGGCTTCCGACACGCTCCTGCCGCAATAGCATGAATCGAGGGGCTTGCCGTGGCTGTCGAGTCTGGCAGAATCTTGGAGTTTCTTTCGTTCTTGCACGGCGTGCGTGTAACGTGGCGGCGAGGCGAAGCTTCCGCGCTGTGTATGGCGAATGTCGTAGACCATCCAGGCGAACAAGTTCCCAACAACCAGGCAGGCTAGGACTACGAACCAGAAACGACTCGGTCGCGATCGACTTCTGCAACCTGGGCACAACTCGAATCGATCACCATCGTACTCTCCTCCGTTGGCCAATCTCTTCTTGCCGTTGATGCTGGCTTCGATTTTCTTCATCAGACTGCCACCGCGCGCTAGGTATGCTGGCATCCTGTATTCCGATCAATGCGCACATGGACAACGAATACGAATGAAGCTGATCTCCTTAACCACCTGCACTGCTTAGAGCAGCTGTGCGTATGCTCGGGCATGTTCTTTCTTCGGAGGCCGCAATATGTGCAGCACATTACTGTGGGCCCAGCCAATGCCGTCAGGCAGATATTTAGCAAGTTCGAGGGGCCAACCAGACGACATGAACAACGGCGGACCGACAGGCCACGAAGACACGGAGTTTCGCCATGACAACAAGTCCGGCACTGCAATTATGCTGGAAACTTAAAGTGTTCTGATTTGTGATCACGACCATTCGACGGAAATCAGGGTTCCCCTACCTCGCAGCCGCTTGGCACGTGCCTTCTCGTCCAGGTTGCAACTACCTTCTACAGTACGGAAGCTGCATCAATTCTGATGCATGTTGAGGCAGGTTGGTCTGTTCAGGCTCGTCGCAAAGCGTCTGATGGCATGCTTGTAGAGGGGTTCTGTATACGTTCAGTTCAAGCCACTCAAACCACCTAAGGGTATACCACGCAGTGCAATACAGGTACTGGCGTCTTGACTCGATCTGGCTCTAGGAAGCTTTGCGAAGCATCAGACGAGACACTTGTACGCAAACCCAAGAAGAATTGCGTTGCCTAACTCCGGACTACGTACTGCTCGTGCAGGGAGCGCGTTAAGTTTTTTTTTTCTACACGAGTCGTTGTCGAATGCACTCCAGCTAGCTACAAGACTGTACCCTCTTGACTGGAATAAGTATACGAGGTACCTGAAACTTGAATCGCACGAGTTCTTCAAGTGCTCATCGTCTCGAAGAGGCGTTGTGTCATGCGTATTTGAATTGGTAGGTGGAAAGGCCACAGTGTTGGATCTATGTCAGACCCGCTGCGCGGCCGCATCAATCTTGGCAAGGTTTAACATTGACCTGGAAGGAAGGGAGCTACGCGCAGGCAATTTCCCCGCATATGAGAAGGAGTAGGTACTACCCGGCATACACCGTCGCATTGTGCAATCTATTCAAACAGGACAACATTCTTATATACACCTAAGAAAACTTGAGGACCGAGCAATCTGCTAGTTCTGCTACACTACGCCCTATCAACCCAACCCACAAGATTTTGGACCTTCGTACTGAGCACCTCCACCAACAGAAACCTCAAAGCGGATCGATGACATCCTTCTCTTTATCCATGCGCTGCTCATAGGCCCAGGTGAAGATCTTGTTGTAGTCACGGCATTGATGTATGGCATCCATGCCGTTGATGCCGTGCTTCGTCCATGGCTCAAAGGTCACATCGGCGTTGCACATGATGGCTTGACGGAGGTAATCGATGCAGTGATCTCGATGCATGCGAATCTCTTCTGGAGTCTTGTCGGTGAGTGTCCACGAGAACTCTTCGGGATACATGTTGAGACGCAGTAAGTTGACGCAATGCAGTTGGTGGAAGACTGAGACGCCGTATACCTGCGATGAGAAGGAACTACTGTTAGCTTGCATCCGAAGTGCACGAGGTGAGCGTGTCGAACTTACGGTATGTGTCAGAGGCCTCTTCGTAGACGGCTTGGATGGAGGAAGCCCTACAGTGGCTTCGTTCGGAAGCTCGATGACACCTTCGCCAGGAGGAGACAAACGATTCCACAACTCGTTCGTTTCATTGGTCGGCGGATCGACGAGCGGCCAATTTGGTTGAAAGACAACTCTACTGTCGTATGCCACTGCTTTCGATCAGAATACTGGGTGTCCACAACGAGGAAGTGCACTCACAATCCGCCTCTCCAGCCGAATTGGCTATTGCTTTGCAGCTGAGATTCTTCGTTTTGACAAGCATCGCAACCTGGGACCAAACAGAGATACCTGTCAAGAACAGAGCCAAGTTGAGGGTCGTGAAGATTGTTCTTCCATTGAGCCATCTTCTTGTTACTGGTCTTTTGGCTCCTGTGTTCTGGGACATGAGAGGGTTGTCCTCGTGGATGGAGTCATCGTCCAGGTAAGAGCCGCTTGTCCTTCCTTTGCTGTCCATCTGTGCTTATATGAAAGTGAGAAAGGGAGAAAAGAGATGGAAGAGAGTGTGCTTGTTCTGAGCGAGTCTGGAATGGAAGGAAGAAGTGCTCGCCCCTCAACGATCTGCAAGACTGTTACTTGGTAGGATTGCAAAAGGGGGTTCTCTATACACCGCTAGCGCTATTATCCCAACAACGGCGAGCAGCACCGTCGTCGACGACGCATCTACACACACAGGTATACGGACTCCGGCATTGAAGCTCAAAAGGGTCCTGACGAAGACCGGAGCACCCAGTCATGTTTATGTAATCCCGATGGTGGATTGCCACCCCAAGATTCAGCCACTTCTACGGGATATACCAGGGACGTCGGGAAAGCCTGGTCACGATTTACCACGCAACTTTGAGCGTCGTCAGATGAACATGCCTCTCCTCGACGCTCAAGTGGCGCTGTATGCAACTCTAATCAAATTTGAGCCGGGATGAAGCAGAACGGTGGAGCAAATGAACAAGGAAACACTCATCATTGTCTCATGTGTCTGAAAGTCTTACGCTACAATCTCTTCTCTATGGGAAATCCGCCATTCCTCGTCTAAAGCACCTCTACGTAGCACGGTCCATCCTTCGACTCAGCGTCACATCGTTTCCTGTCGGCTTCTGACAACTGATTCCTGTCATGAATCTCAAGAATCTCAGAAAAGTACTCATTCTTCCGGCTGAAGATATTCAGTCCAACCTTTCGACCCTTCCTCACAGGCATGCCTGCATGATATGTTCCATCGACACCAGTTCCGTTGGGGTAGAAATTGTGCCAGAACACAGCGTTGCCGATCACAGGCGGGAAGTAGATTCCGCCTTCCTTCGACTGCTTGCAGTCGACGAAGCCCTGGTTGCACCATTCTGTTGCGAAGAGCCCTGACCAGCGTGGAAAGCCTGTTTCACCGCCCTCGCAGCTTCCACCGTTCTCCTTGTCATCGCAGGCCAGATATACGAAGAATGTTGAGACACGTGGATTCAGCATACCTGGATGCCAGTCGAAGTGTGGTCGGAACTCGTCACTCGTCCCATACTTGACGAGCTGGATATCTTCAACGTGTCCGACAGGCATGAAGCCCTGGAAATCTGCCGCTCGCTTTCGAATACAAGCGACGACGGGATCGTCTGGTACGACCGCAGAGACTGACTTTCGATATTCATTGTTGTATGTTCGTCCCATGGGCCCTGATAGGGGTGAAGCCATGTAGTACGGCTCTGCCAGGACTAGAAGATAGTCGGCTTCTTCTTGTGTAACTAGGCCCTCGATATACATAACAAGTGGATCTGCGGACAAGAGTCGAGTGCTGTACTGATGATCTGGGCATCCTTGTGCATATCGATTCGCCATTTCTGTTCGAGCGGCCGTGATGTTTGGCATGGCGGTCTTGACTTCTGGCATGATGGCGCTTGGTACCATTTGAGCAAGTTGCCATTGGTCAAGTGAGAACTTCGAGCTGATGTGAGACCACTTGTCGATTCCAAAGAGCAGGGTGGGAAGCAGCACAGCTGCAGTTGTCCATTTGTTGCTGGACGATGCCGTCCGAACACCGTCATTGGAGGGCTTCTTAGATGCCATATTGAACAAGTCGAATGCAAAATCGTGACAACAGCTTTTGGGAGAGTATTTGCAACGAAAGGGAGAGAACGGCTTGAAACTGCTAGAGGATGTATTTGTACAGCTTGAAGCGCCCTCGGATCTCAGGCTCTATCTTATCTCATCGATCTTCCGTATGAGGGAGGCTCACTCAGCCACAGCTACGCTGTACTGCATCGATCCAATCGGTGCCAGCAGCAGCGGTGAACCTTAGTTGAGGACATCGGTATATTGAAGGTCGGTGCCCGGTGAAGATGATCCAAGCAGCTCATGCTGTCATGCGACGTAGGTCTCCTGGAGCACGGATAAGTCTCTGCAATTCTTGGTGCCATGCCATGATGACAATGACTACAGAGTCTCAAGCGCTGCTGAAGGTCAGAAGCAACTCGAAGCAAATGGAGTGCAAGTAATTTCGAAAAGTTCACGGCGAGAAGATGTAATTCGAAGTCGTTCTCTGCACTCGACACCGTGAGAGGCATTCGGGGAGTACGTTAGGCTGACCAAGTCCGACGATGCCCACTCTGACCTTGTGCAACAATCCCACGTCCGGACTTAAGATGAGGCACGACTCATCGCTACGTACGGAAAATTCGAAAGTTACTGCAAAGACAGGCGGTGACGTTGCCTGGCAGCAAGGATATTCCTGGAAGCAGACCTGGGGCCCCTCGTACTAGCCCTGTCCAATAACCCTATGCAGTAACTGCGAACTTTAATGCCTGCCCTAGGCTGACCTGCGTGGTTGGCCCCGGCAGCGTCCGGTAATCCTACCGTCCGTATTGATCGGTCTGCTCAGAAGTAGGGAGTGCCCGAGATGCTTCAAATAATCCACACGACTACTGGTGCGTAAGTTCTGTATATCATCAACTGTTCACCATCATGATGGGGCCTGAGACTGAAGCATTATTCAGAGCCACTACTACTTTTTGATATAGAATCACGAACAATGCCTTGATTGAAGATCGGAGGCCACGAAGCCGGAATGACGGTGTGCTACGACAAATCCTAGGGCCGAAGGTCACGCCACGAAAAGTGAGCACTGCTGGACTCCGATCCTAACGTGGGCCTGGCGATTGCGCGACTAAGCATGACTGAGCCATCGGGAATGACAACAGCAGCGTTGATGGAGGCCGATTGCAATGCTGATGAGCCGTTGGAAAACGACTTCCATCCATCAACTCGTTGAGGTTTCCATCGACTTACATTCCCAACACACAACTATGGAAGCAAAATCAAAGGGCAGAGCATTCGAGCGCGGCTTCCCTGAGGCCGAGAAACTACTTGCAGAAGATCAATGGGCGTCTTCGCAGCACTATACGCCCAGCCAGAAGTCTCAGGCACATGGCCGCATGTTCTATGTTTCGTTCTCTTTGCTTAACATCACACTTGGGCTGGTCCTAGGATACTTCTGTGTGCGATATTCGCGACTCTCTGTCACCAGTTGGGGCGTCAATCCGAACACACCAGTGCCTCAGGACATCTTCACGATGCGTAAGAATGTTGCATTCAGGTGAGTATGATCTATTCAAACTCTTCGAATGCGTCTGACAACAAGCCAGTCCTGATCGCAGATACATGGGCCCAGGGGCTGAAGTCAACTCTCACTGGAATACCTTGACAGCAAGTACGAGACTCACAAATCGCACCTGATTTTGCCAATCATTGACCTCATCGTATAGGCTCCGACTCCGTGTATATTTCTGACCCGGAGCGTTATGGACTTCATGATGCGGGCATCCGTGCTCCTATGTTCATATTCGATGAGCCTCCCGCCTCGGCTGCATCCTTGGACAATGTGAAGAACTTCTACGTCCTCAATACGCTACATCAACTACATTGTACAAATGTGATCAGACGGAGGTACAATATGCTCGTCTACGATCCGGATGTAAGCCCGCTGGCCAAGAATCCCGAGGACGAAGATTGGATTGAGCACGTTGAGCACTGTATCGAATATTTGCGATACTCGATCACATGCGGTATGTCTCGATCAAGTTACTATGTGGCGAATCACTGATCGTGTTCCAGCCGACTATATGGTCTTGGAGAGTGATTCTCCGCCTGGAAGTCCGCCAGAGTTCTATGAGGGAGGCCTGGCTTGGGTAAGTGCAGCAGTCCTATTCTTTGCAAGTATTGGTTTTCATACTGACTATTATCTAGGGCGTCGTGCACTCTTGCATTAATTGGGAGCGTCTGATGCAATGGCAAAGACAGCAACTAGAGGCGTACAATCGTACATGGAATACTACAGCTTGAGCACGCTCGACAAAGCAACATTCACGGTCCGTTTTGTTCGTCCATAGATCGATCCGCGTCAGGTTTTTCGAACGCTACAGTTGCTACCATGCATACAAAGAACACAAGACAAGAGAAACATCGATCTCTGGTCATTTACCCCGTTTTTGGCAGCCGATGGAGTCATTCTGCTCCCATCACGCGAACTTGACTACCAGGAACATTCCGAAGAGCCTCATATCTTTTGTCGAATATGTCGATCGGGAGCGAAATTGGCCAACAAAAGCCCTGTCAAGTGTTGAGTTTCGCTCCCATGTCGTCCGCGTATGAATATTAGACTTTGTAGGGTGAAGGATTCTCAGTAATCTGACTGGCGGATGCTGAGAATGCGTTAAGGTTCGCTTACGTCCGTGGGATCACGCAGTGACCACAATTTTTCCGGTCATGTGTACATAAAGTTTCATGAGCTCTGTTCTTGGATCTATGGCACGCTTGGTAGAACCGCTAGCCCTGGAAAACATGGATCCTGAATTCCACATCACCACGCCGAGACTTTACATCTCGCACTTTCTAGCATCTAACGATTCTCATTGTGATTTTCTGGTCCAGCTGTGGAATACGCCAGAATTCATCAAGACATGCGGACAGACCAAAGTCAGAACACGCGAAGACGCTCGAAACGAAATCGGCGGTCGATTCTTGAATGACCATAAACGCAATGGCTACGGCATGTATCTGGTATCCTTGCGACGAGACCCAGAGGGTGCACAGAACGATCACTCAGAATCCTTTCAAGAGACCCTGAAACAATCGAAACCCATTGGAACGGTCTCACTAATGCGTGGCAAGCCGCCGACTGCATTCTCAGCACCCGATCTGGGCTTCGCCATACTGCCCGAAGAGACTCGTAAAGGCTACACTCGCGAAGCATCGCAAGCGGTGATGCATTATGCGGAATCTGCGTTGGGAGTACGAGACATTCTAGGGCTTTTCGATCCTGAGAACAAGGCCTCTGCGGCGGTTTTTAGGAGTTTGCAATTCCAAGATTGTGGCGTTAAGGACTTGAAAGAGTTCGGAGGTCTACCAGTGGCTATCTGGGTCAAGCCAGGAATGAGCAAAGACATCAGTTTGTATGGTCTGTGATGATCGAATGTTTCCAGATATGGAAGTATCTACGTGTATGTTTTTTTTTTTTAGAAAGTCTTGCTGTTCAACCAGGGAGCTGCCATGTACGATTGTATTTTGCTTCTTGATCGGTTTGAAACTGCCATAGCAGGTCAAAGTCGATGCAATCGTGTTCGACTCCTGGAAAACAACATGTGAGCATTCTGGGAATTGCATTAGAGAAAATCGATGAGACTTACCCCAGCCCGTCACAGATGTGACTTGTTTTCCGTCAATGTCCACTGCACTTGAGCCCTCTAGAATTAGGTCGCCACCGCAAGAAATACTTTGACGCATGTATTCAAAGCAATGCTCGATATGAACATCCCAGTGCTTCATTGTATAGTCTGGGTCCTTGAAGTCGCCATCTTCAACGTGCCCATATTTGTCTGAAAAGAACTGAAACCGTATCATGTTCTTGGCGTGAATTAGTGGTCTAGACAGCATCTGTATGTTTGGACCCAGAGACTCACCAAACAATGAAGAGAATGCAGCGTAGATATGACGTAGAAATCGTGAGGCTTGGGATCAGGAGTGTTTGGATGCTCATACGGAGCTACCTGTCCCGGCGGAAGACCCCATCTTTCAGGGTTCTCAATCCAAACGGCGTCATGACCTGTATCATCTCAGCGAGCTCGCTCACAAAAGCGGCATTACATTGGGGAGAATTACCTGCAACCAGTCTGTCCCAATTGCGATTTACTTCATCGTTCCAGCCAACGTAACGCTCGTCACGGTGAAAGATCTTCTTCACAGGCTTGAAAACATCTTTGGGAATTGGTGTGTTGTAGTAGACGTGGAGCAGACCGTTGGACTGAAAACGCGTGCGGTACACGTAAGCGCAAGTTGCAAGCCAGCCAAGTGCCAGGAAAATTATGCAAGCGTAGAGGCTTTTGTTCCCTTGCTTCGTAAAGATGACCCTTGGGCTTGAGCTTCTGTTCCCTTCTTCGTCGTCCAGGGACAGGCGACGATATTCTTCTCCCAGCTTGGCTTCAGTGTTGAAGATACTCTTCATGTTGCATCGATGTGTCGTGAATGAGGGGAATCAAGAACATCAGGGACAGCGCAACAAATGTTGGCAAGAAGCAAATGCATAGTGCCAATTCTCAGACGTCCTTGTTTGACCATCGGTCGTTCGGCCTTGCCAGCTTTGAGTCAGCAACAGAAACGAAGCCCGAAATATTGCACGGTCGGACTGCGCGGAGTGATCGGTGCGAGGTCGTCGGTGACGTTGGGAGTGCTGCTCTCCCGCCTTGCACATGCTGTCCCTTGACCGCTCATTAGGTCACGTAGCCCCGATGTTGACCGTGACTTGAGTTGTCCGCGCGCTTTGCCCGCCTTGAAACCTCGATCACCAGGAAGGGCGATAGATTACGTGTTTCTCTCCATTCAACCTCGACGATCCTCCAAAGTCCTATCCTCGAATATTTACCGAGCATCTTCCACAATTATGTGTCAAGGGACGTCGGCCAAGCTGCATGCGGGCGTGTATCAGTTCTTGCCACGATCATTCGAGGTGGATCCCTCTGTGAACGCCGTATTCTCAGACGGCTACAATCAAATCCTCCGCCACCCTTAGGTCTCGCGGACGCTCAAGCCTGCCCCGGCCCGTCTACATCTTCTCTTGCGTGATTCGCTACAAGTGCAGTGATACGTATCACGCATACGGGGAATGCCATGCAGGGTGTCTAGAGGATCGAGGCATTGCGCCCTGTCTGATCGACCCCGAGCATCTCTGCACCAGCATTCCTTTTCGGATTAGTGATTGGTACTCGTACAACCTGAAACATGCCTCTGTACCTGCAGAACTTGTTGCTAATATCAATACCAGGCGACACAAACGAACAGATGCACTCTGGACTTACACGCACGCTTGTGCTCCACGAAAATGCATGGCATTCTGTACGGCTCGAGTCTAGACCGGATGTGAGCCTTGCTCAGCAATCACCATAAGCTCTGCGGAGCTGAGTTATTGCTGGTAATGCTTGATGCCAGCAGGATCAGGCAATATCCCTGCTGACTTGTAAGTTGTGGGCGAATCCAACTCGAGCATGGGGGACGAAGTTAAGAAGCTTACCGGACGCGAAAAAGTCCCGAACGGCCGGACGAACGGCACGGCCCGTGTAGAACTAGACCTCAGTTGGCGACGCGACGCGACGCAGTTCGACTCCAATCCAACATTGCACATTGGTCATGCTTGACCTCACCTCACCTCATCACACGATGCTTGCGCCGCTCCTCAGCTGCGGCCGCGTCTTCTCAATGCACGCCATTGAAATTTTGACGGATGTCATCCGCTGACCCCGTCGTCAGGCACAACGCACTCCGAGTACCAGACGCATCTTTCCCTTCTGCATGTGGATAACATGCTGGACGACAGCATGAACCCCGAGTCCAAAAGCGGCACAGTACTCGGACTGTGCCTGTAAGAGACGGCGTCCGGCATGGATCAATCTGCACGGCAAAGCTCTGGCAGGAATATCCTTATTTGGCACCTTAGAGCTGAGCGTTCGTCGAGACGGCCAGAAGCAATTCATTGACCTTTCGATCGGATACCGACAGGTGGGAGTATCATTGAGAACCCTGCGGCTGTTGCGTTATGGCATCGGACGGCCAATGCTTGCGGCCGTTGCTGATCTCGGTCAATCTGTCTTCCTTTGATTGCGCGCATGTCACGCTCCTCTCTATGAATCGCGCTCCAGGATTATCTGACCACCAGTGAACCGACGATGTGGAGCTATCTCACACGGGCTCCGGCGTGCGTCGTGTTTGACTCGATACTGTGTCGACGCTTTGCCAAATTCGATAGCGCTTTGTCTTGTCCGAAGTCCTGAGCATCTAGGACGGACTTCGTTGTTTCATCAGGTCTGCTAATCTGCTGTCGGTAGAGACGCTCAACGCACTGTAGTACTGCGCTATGCGGGTAACAAGGGCCTGCGGACGGACTGTGACAGCAACGAAGCAGCAACTTCCCTTTCGAACGATGGCAAAGTCCGAACATTCGAATGGCCACCATCATGTATATATGGAAGCCAAAATTCCGTCGAATGTCATCTCATCAGCATCAGCAACAGCATCACCTCGAAGGCATTTGATCTCATCAGCACTCGAACTCGTTCCTTACCAAGCTCCCACTCCTTACAAAGCTCCCAGCCCCACGACAAGCAAACAATTCAAAGTCAAAGCCGACCCCCAAACACACCGCAAAAATGAAGTACAGCTACACCGCCGCTGCTTTGGCTGCTCTTGTCGCCACCGCCAATGGCGCTGCTATCGACGTGAGAGCTGAGGCCGCTCCTCAGTATGTCTGGTCCCCAAAGGCCGCTGCCAAACGCGATCCCGCAGAGGCCGCCCCTCAGTATGTCTGGTCCCCAAAGGCGGCAGAAAAGCGCGCAGAGGCTGCTCCGCAATACGTCTGGTCCCCGAAGGCCGCGGAGAAGCGTGAGGCCGAGGCCGAGGCGGCAGAGGCTGCTCCCCAGTATGTCTGGTCACCAAAGGCTGCCGAGAAGCGCGCAGAGGCTGCTCCACAGTATGTCTGGTCCCCCAAGGCTGCTGAGAAGCGTGCCGAAGCCGCTCCTCAGTACGTCTGGTCCCCAAAGGCCGCCGAGAAACGTGAGGCCGAGGCGGAAGCTGCAGAGGCTGCTCCTCAATATGTCTGGTCTCCAAAGGCTGCCGAGAAGCGCGCAGAGGCTGCCCCACAATACGTCTGGTCTCCAAAGGCTGCCGAGAAGCGTGCAGAAGCCGCTCCTCAATACGTCTGGTCTCCAAAGGCTGCTGAGAAGCGTGAGGCGGAAGCAGCAGAGGCCGCCCCCCAATACGTCTGGTCTCCAAAGGCCGCCGAGAAGCGTGAAGCTGAAGCGGCGGAGGCGGCTCCTCAGTATGTGTGGTCTCCAAAAGCTGCTGAGAAGCGTGCGGAAGCCGCTCCTCAGTATGTGTGGTCTCCAAAGGCTGCCGAGAAGCGCGAGGCGGAGGCTGCTGAGGCAGCTCCTCAATATGTGTGGTCGCCAAAGGCTGCCGAGAAGCGCGATGCAGAGGCTGCCGAGGCGGCTCCTCAATACGTCTGGTCACCGAAAGCCGCTGAGAAGCGCGACGCCGCCGAGGCAGCTCCTCAATATGTGTGGTCGCCAAAGGC